AAACATGTCTAGACATTTACACCCTAATAGTTGCAAATCTATGCCTGTTCAGAAGGATTACAATTTTTTCAGTATTTGTTTGGGAGTTTCAGCGCAACCTTCGTCGACGTCGCCGACAACAGCGTCGACAACGCGTCGGGCAACGTCGAGCACAGCGACAACAGGGGTACGGCAGTATCCGGGATGTTCCCACGGCCCCTTGCCCGTTGCTCTCATCGGGATTCGAACTCACGGCGTGCCCTCAGCCAAACGCAAGTGCGAAGTGCAAATGCAAAATAGACCTGACACTCCTGGTCAACCGTACGGAAAGTCACCTATCGGGTCATATGGCATGCTTCGCTTTGTAAAACTGAGCGTCCGAGGGTTTTTCATATTATAAAAGCAGACCGCGTGACCGATTGTCACGACCATGACGCAATCGTGACAGATTTACTTCCTGACCCACTGATGGTCGCCGTGAAAGGACATAGTGTCCTTTTTCCTGCCGTCCGGAAAAAGGACACCTGCTTTGCCCGCCGTGTGTGGTGTTGGGTCTTCTGTCCAAATGGGTACGTCAAACTTCGCGGTGGCGGGAGGCGTCTTATCTGGACGCCACCATCGCGCCGTCCAAGCTCAATGACTCTGACCGCAGCCGTCCGCGATTCATGCAAGTTTGGGACGAAGATTGCTCCAGTGTCAGTTCGGCACCCCATCGTACTGGACGAGGGACGTCCGCCAGCCGTCGCACGGGCACGCATGCGCACGCATGCGCATGGGACGTGCTTCGAAGGTGGAACCCTCTCTTCAACGGTTGGAACGTTTGCGGTCAGCAGGGAATCGGCTACAGGTGACACGAGGTTCTCTAACGAAAGGTCTCCTTCGAGCCAGTTTGGCATTTATTGCTTCCCCGCATACCTACCGCGTACCACAGGCCAGAATGACCCTTGCAAGACGCATTCTTTATCTCCAAAGCATCTTGATCCCACATCTGCCACTGCTGGGTGGGCTCAGGACCCATAACCTGGCTCTGATATTGAAAGAATAGTTCAAGAAATGCCTAAGAATCCCCACTTTACGCCTGTGAAACTGGTTCTCATCCCCGCTGCCTTACTCGCCATCTCCGTCCCGGTTGTCTTTGTGGTCGTCTCAGCCCTCAAAGGAGACTATGAATGGACATCCAAGCTTGTACTCTCGACCGTTAAGAATATTACTGAGCTTTCTGCGCAGTTGAGCGACGCACTGGACGACACAAGCGCCGGACTTGGACTCCCTGCAAGTAGCCTGCTGGTTAGTCAGCACACACACACTGTTCTTCGGGGTATCAGTGTGCTTACTACTCAAGGGATTCCGCAGGAGAACGCGGCTAGAGTGCAGGAGCTGGTGTACACGACGTCGTCTGCCGCTGACAAGATCAATATGGTATTCCCTGCTTGTTATTGATACTCAGGCGTGCCCTGAGAAGCCCGCAGGTGAACTATAAGACATTTGATAATACAATGTCTGGGGATATAGTGGCCGCGTTGACTAAGGTTCGCCCTCTTGCTGCTAGTGGGGAAGTCCGAGTCGTGCCAGTTTATTGACCTCTCGTGGCCAAGGAACAGCTAGTGACCACCGAGGAAAATTTATTCTCAAATGTATGCCTCTCAAATGTTTTTGATCCTGTCACCGTACGAGACATTCTGATCTATTCGCCCAGCTCACCAGCTCCTATGGCGTTTTCAAACAATCTGGCTACGCTGGACCTATCAATAGCGCGCTGCTTGGCTTCCCCAGCGCTTCAGTGGTTCGCTGCTTGTACTTCTGTTTCTGTTGAATGCATTAACCAAGGTCTGGGCAGAAACTGTTCCTCTCCTTGACGAAGCTGATTCCGAAGAGGAAGTCCGACATTGATCATCAGTGGCATTATTTTAACTCGTCCCTTGCTCACGCTACGCAAATTTACTCGTCGACCTCTGATGTTGTTGTTGTGTCGTGGTAGTCATCCCTAGTAACATGCGCACAGTCAATCTCACAGTTACATGAGAGAAGTCGAAATTCAATCAGTTCTCTGGCGCATGTAGGTACACCTATTATGGCAGTACCACTACCAAATGCGGTCATTTGTGGCTCTTCCTCGGGAGTAGCCGTGAACCACTTACAAACGGACGCTCTTGGATGCTCTTGTCTCTTTTTCCTCTCCCCCGGCCCGTATTCTGATTGTGTCTCTCCGTCGAAACCCCACCACTTTTGACTCTCCTGATGCATTTACGCGGTCTTTGATCAAGATCTAGTCGACGGATTTCAGGTGTGTGAGATCTGTCTACTTCGACTTACTATACACACGAAGCAATTACACGCACTCGGCGACTAAATGTCAAGTCTCGGAAGTACATAACATACACAGCGACTAACGTCCTTCATTACTTCGGGCGCCACTAAAACAGATCATGGGACGATAGATTCTCGTATTTGCTGCCAGGTATATCATTCTTTATGAACTGGTTCACGTCGTTATCGAAGTCGAAAGCGGCCTTTAGCCCGACCTGCTCGAAGAAGTTCTTGATGGTGCGGCCCTCGCATGCCTTAAGGTCCGAGCCCTCCTCCTTGAGCATCTTGTATGAGCGCTGCATGGCCAGCATCGCGGGAATGAATCCTGTGCACGGGAACATGCACATTCTGAAGCCGAGCTCTTTCACGTCCCTTACGGTCAGGTTACCGGTAAGACCCTATTACACCACTGTCAGCTTTGAAGACACTCGTAGGATAAATACGACGCTCACATCTGGGAGGACGTTTATCATGACGGGCCTTCCTTCCAGAGCTTTTACGAGGCGCGCACACTCGTCTTTCCCCCTCGGGCTCTCCATGAAGGCCACATCCGCACCGGCATCCAACGCGGCCTTGAGCCTCTTAATCCCCTCCTCGAACGCCTCTTCCCCCGCGTTCGGGCCGCCGAACTGCGCCGCATTCCGCGCGTCCGTTCTTGCGAGGATGACGAAGTCCGGGTTGCGCCGTGCGCGCACGGCGGCGGCGATGCGCTCGGTGTAGGTGTCGATGTCGACGACATCCTTTCCGTCGAGCTGGCCGCACCGCTTCGGGAAGGTCTGGTCCTCAATGTGGCAGCCTGCGACGCCGGCGGACTCGTACAGCGCGATGGTGCGCGCTATGTTGAGGGGCCCACCGAAGCCGGTGTCTGCATCGGCGATGACGGGGACGTCCGACACTTCGACGATCATGCGCGCTAGTTGGGCGAATTCTGTTGCAGTCATGACGGACAAGTCCGGCTGCCAGGCGGTACAATATCAGGACGAGGTACGTTTGTCTGGCGACTGACTGACCTCTCCGCAGAAGCTTCCCGTTGCACCGCTCCCCGCAAGGTATAGGTAGTCAAAGCCGACACTGTTGGCGACGTGCGCTGAGATACCGTCGAACACGCCTGGCCCGATGAGACAGTCTGGTGCCTCCTTCAGCAGCTGGCGCAGCCTCTTGGGCATGTCATGTTTCTGCATGTTCGGCGGGTCGGCTTTGGACTGCATCTTGCACTCAATTTCTGGGAGCTACGTCTCTGGTCTGGTTGGGAAGGGGAACTGAAGCAATTGAGGGAGCTCATGGTCACCAGTGGCGAAAGGTCTTTATCCCAGTCGCTATTCATGACATCACGTTCACTGGCACTGGTGTAGGTTGTTGATTTATATTTGGACATCCAATCTCTGACGCACTCCTTGTACCTGCGCTATTTATAGAACCCTACCCCGTCGTTGCGGTGGAACTGCACTCGAGCTCTGACGGATTTCCACCACTCAAGCTTTTATTTTGCTTGCCGCAGCATCTACAATGACGTGAAAATGGCGTAGGAAGGCAGACGGTGCCACCCCTCCGCTGGTAAATGAAAGGGGCCTCACGCGGGTTTGGGTACAACCTCTGATAGTTACGTATGACGCCGCAAGCCTCCAGCTTGAAGAGGACGATGGTGTTGGCCCCAGACGATTCCGTCAGTGCCTGTGTACAACTCTCCTCTCGGATGCCATTAGGATCCTCAACTCTGCCTGGGCTAGCACAACATGGTCTTTGAAAGTGCGACATTGGCGTCAGTTCGTTCGCCGAGCGGGAAAAGATTCATGGGCTTGTTTGCAAGGCTTCTACCACTTTGGAAAGCCTCTCCTTGCGCAAGGGTATCCACAGGACCTCTCCACCTCCAGGCCCGCCAACCGTTGATGACAAGACAAGACCATGATCCCGGAATTCGCCTAGAAGGGATCTCAGGGCCGTATCATTCGTAGCAATGAAGTTATCCCGCGCGGTGTTGAACAGTGTATCATAGCTGAGAGCGAACTGTTGCAAATCAGCTGTGGTTGGAGCATCGCCTGCTTCATCGATAGCTTTCAGCTGCATCGTGGCTATCAGGGTGAACAACTTCTGAGCCTTCTCAGTGACGGATGCTAGAACATGCTGAGCAGCCGTCTCAGTCATAGCTACACCGTTCGTAAGTTGGTCTTGCTGCAGGCGAACACTAGACGATGAAGTGAAACTTGACGCCCCGGTTATCGAGGACCTGTTAGATAAGGACAGTTCGAAGTCGTGCGCAGCGAGAGTGGTCAGGTCATGCCACAACCATGCGTACCCGCGGTGAGTCACTCCTGAAGACGAGGCGTGCTTCCTTGTCGAAGACTCCGTGGATGACCATAAAAGTGGGACGTTGATGTGGTCCACGGAGGCGGCTACGCGGATGGCGGGACAGCCGCATAAGATCGACAGACATGATCGTGCTTTTGCTGTGCGCAAGCTCGGGGCCTCGATGTTGTGTATGATGAGATAGAGAGGCCTCTTCGATTTGGAGGAGAAGTAGTCACAGATGCGTCGGGACTGCCCGTCGATAGTCTGCGACGGCAAATGCGAGGAGGTGACGCCGGCAATACTCTCGATCGACGCAAGGATGTCTTTGAGCGTGAAGCTAGGCTGGAACGCATTGACGACCACAACGTGTCCTCGTTTCGAGCAAGCATCTACGGCGAACCTATTCAGAACGTCCCGTTTGGAACCGAACCCGAAGAACAGAATATTGAACCCCTCGTCAAGCTCCCGGAGATATTGAGAGAAGTAGTCAGGGTGCTGAGAACTCAACCGACTGGTGTATCTGGTGCCGGGGTCGCATTTATCCTTCTGGAGAGAGGCTATAGCCGATACGTATTCTTCCGCGCTGAGAGGTTCCACTAGATGTGAGAAGACGTGGTCGGATGTTCGCGAGGACCTAGAGGCCTGTACAAAGAACGCATCGAACATCGTATCGGCGATGATGTTATGAGAGGTTTCAAGGTCATTGGAGGCAGTAGCTCTCGAGCGTCGTTTCCTGGGTGTTGACGCCATACTCTGGACGCCGTCTTCGAAGTCCATCTCCTGGTCAACGGTATCTTCCTCATTAGAGTTAAAATCCATGTATATGAGGGCGTTGCGAAGAGGTGAAATGGGCAAACTTCAAAAGGAAGACAGGGCTTGTTGAAGAGAACGCCGGAGGAGATGAGGCAGGATAACCTGGATAAGTTCCAAGTCAAGACTCAAAACGCGACGCGTCTAAACCGCGACATTACCGTAATCATGATTTACGTAATTATTTGGTACCCGGATAAGGATACCGCAGGCTTAAATTACTCACTCCTTCCTGTCCTCCAGTCTGGCTGTCGTCCTCCCTCAGCTCTACCTCGTCTGACTTCCTTCTAACCACAGCCAGGAAGTTAGTGACTAGGCGTGCTAATATTGGGGGTATCCCGGTCTTTTTCCCTCGCGATTTTACCGCGTCCATAACTGGCAGTGGCGCGCCGCTTTGTGAACGACAGTCTGCACGCAGTTCTCGACATTCTCCGCGATGACTCCTTCGAAACGCACTGCGACACCTCCAGAAGATACGAGGCCTAACAAGAAACAAGCGATATCATCACCTGAGGAAGGCGAGGTCGATTCAGACGTTACGCCGCCGGCGGCGTCACAGCGGTCGCCTCGAACACCCCCGCCTCCTGCGACCAAAGTACCATTTCCTTTCAAGCCAAAAGTTTCAGCTCCTCCACCACCTCCGTCTAGTATCAGAGATAGCGCGCAGAAGTCAAGGGTACCCGCGGTGTACGAACGTTCCGAGGAAGATGAAAGGCGAATCCGGGAAGCTGAGGAGCTCGAGCGAAGGTTGACTAAACCTCGGGCGATACCTACGGGTCGTCCAGACCACTGGGAGCCTGGCTACGACAGAACACGAGATAGATGGTCTCGGGACGCGTATGCACCGCCTGCTGGGTCCTATTATCGCCCACGGAAGGAGGACTGGGATTACGGTAGGAGGGACGATTATGATTGGGATAGGCAGGAAAGAAGATGGGATGACGACAAGGTGGATAGAAAGCATACCGATTACAAACCGGATCGCAAGGTAGGAGGGAGCGCTAGTCGCTCGACCCCCTCTACGTCCTCTCAGAAGCGCTCCCCGTCCCCCGTCTCCCCTCCCCATTCCCCCAAAGAGAAGCATCGACTTCCCCGTCCTCGTACCCCTGTTCGTGACCCATCCCCCGTACCTGTCGAAGAGCCAGGACGGAGATGGTCCAGTCGCCACTACGAGCCTGAGAGGTCCTACCCGCTGGAGGGTTCCTCGTACTACCCTCGCGAGTACGACCGTGACCTTCGAGGACACTACAGACGGACACCGCCGGCTGACTTCGACTACCACAGGCGCGATCGGGGATATGACTACCGCGATTACGACGACAGGTGGGGGTATGATGATAGGTACGACGACCATAGAGACGCGTACCGTGGTGAAGTCCGTCGTGGGTATGACAGCTACCGGCCTGTGTCGCCAACTCTTCCTCCCGGTCCTGTGTCACCAAGGCTCCCTCGGGGTCCGATAACACCGCCTCTGCAGAAGGGTTCATCTTCAGCGCCCCCACCGCCCCCTAGTCCTCCTCCGCCACCTCCACCGGGAGAGCCGTCAGTATCGGAGGCTCTTCCAGCAGAACATGTGGCGGTCTCGATATCACTACCTATTAAGCGACCCGGTGCACCCAAAGAAGATCGGTCGCCGCCGTCGATTCTGGAAGGCGGGCGCGTGCCAGCGCCTGTACCTGATCCATCACCTCAGAAAGAGCCCGCCACTGAGCGGCGTGTCGTGCCGCTGAAGCCGAAGAGGACGCCCGTTCACCGCACCCGAGAGCAAGAAAAGATCGCGTACGGGCGTACGTTCGTCGGGTGTGGGTCTCAAGCCGACTACGATGTCTTGACGAAATTGGGAGAGGGCACCTTTGGGTTTGTATTCACAGTTACTTTTATTTACGAATGCGCTCAAGCATTCGCGTCACAGCGAGGTGCATAAAGCCATCCACACTGGGACGGGTAGGTCGGTAGCGCTGAAGCGCATCCTGATGCACAATGAGAAGGAGGGCATGCCTGTGACCGCTCTTCGCGAGATCAAGATCCTGAAAGCCCTGAACCACCCTTGCATCGTAGAAATTCTAGATATGTTTGTCGTTCGCAGTGCGTATCCCCCTTTTTCCGGATCCGGCTCCCGGCGTCCAATGTCTTATGAACCCGTCCTGACCTCCTCATCAGGCAAGGGCAAGGAGTCTCCATTGTCGGTATATATGGTCTTCCCGTACATGGATCACGATCTCGCGGGTCTACTTGAGAATGAACGTGTCAAACTCCAACCCAGCCAGATCAAGTTGTATATGAAGCAACTACTAGAAGGTACCGAGTACATGCACCGGGTGAGTATCTCATACTAGATCACGAGAACGTCATGTCTGAAATGCTCATAGAATCAAATCCTGCATCGCGATATGAAAGCGGCGAACCTTCTGATATCAAATACGGGCTCTCTACGAATTGCCGATTTCGGTCTCGCTCGTTCGTACGACCCGAATATCGTACGTGGAGGCGACCACAAACTCGACCGGTACGGTCGGGAGCGCAAGTACACGAATTGTGTAGTTACCAGGTGGTACCGCCCTCCTGAGCTCTTGCTGGGTGCGAGACAGTATGGAGGCGAGGTGGATATATGGGGTATAGGGTAATCGTCTTCACCGATGAGCCTGGTGTCTCGTTGCTAATCATGGTGTCAAGCTGTGTCCTGGGCGAGATGTTCTGGCGTCGCCCCATCCTCGCGGGTTCCTCCGATATAGACCAACTAGATAAAATCTGGCAGCTGTGCGGTTCCCCTAACCAACAGAACTGGCCTAATTGGGATCGCCTTCCTGGATGCGAAGGCGTTAAGCGCTTCCCGCAGTATACCAGGCGAGTAAAGGCCATATACGAGACGTACGTGATGTTGTTATGTATCTTGTGGGTGCCGCTAACCTAGGAATGTTCCGTATTCGTCTCGATTCCAGCATCGGTCCTGAGACTTGCGATTTGTTGGATAAGCTTCTCACTTTGAACCCGAGAGAAAGGATATCAGCGTCGGAAGCCCTGGATCATGACTATTTCTGGTCTGACCCGCTGCCGGCGGATCCAAAGAGGTATGCTGGTCATTCCGTTATTATCATTTACACAAGTCATTGACTTATCGTCTTCTTGCATGATAGTCTGCCCACTTACGAGGCTTCCCATGAATTCGACAAGCGTGGGCGGCGAAATCAGGGACCAGCAGGTCCACCCCTACCGCTGCCTCAGATGCAGCAGATGGAGCAAGCCGCAAGAATGGCTGCAGGGCTAATGCCACCACACGCTCGCAATTTCCCTCAGGGACCACTCCCCCCTCGTGAGACGTTCCGAAACGGCCCACCTCCGGGTGCATTTCCTCAACAACAGTACCAAGGAGGGCCACCGATGTACCCTCCGGGACCTGGTGGATACTTCCCTGGGCCGCATGGCCCGTACCCTCCGCCCAATATGCGCTATGGAGGGCCGCCTGCTGGACACGTCCCGCCACCTATGGCTCCTCATGGAATGAGGCAGCATTTCCCTCCTCATCCGCCTCATCGGCCGCCTTTTATGAACGGTAGAGGTGGGGGCCCTCCTATGCCTGGTCCGCAACAAAGGCATGGAAGTAACCGGCCTCCTGGACCCGGTGTTGGAGCAGGAGGGTTAAACTACGGTTGATCATGCATTGCACATCCCAATTCGCTCTGTATCTGCTTTCACACGTTTTTGCTTTGCTCTCGCACTTACACGGAACCACAGCTGCAATCGCATGTAAAGTAATGTAGCCCTTTGTTATAATACGCAACTGTCGACTGTTGGCCGATCTGTAGTCTTGAATTGATACTTCTTTCCACCTCCGACCGAGGAGGCTCGTCACCCCCCGCGGACGTATGTCATCTGCCGGCATGGCCCGCTCCGCCAGGTGTTGGTTGAGTGCAGGGATGTACTCGAACTACTGAGGGCTAGAGGCGCAGACGCTGCGGCGACATCTGATGGATAGCTGTCGAAATAGCACGTCTTCCCGCCACGACACTGTCACCCTGCATTAAAGTACTGCAACTGCATCGGGACTCGCAGCCTGTCGAAGCTCCGGTCCATCCGATTTCGCGCCTAGGTGAGAGCAGGAGGCACAAGTGGCCTCGATAGTCAGACAATTGGTAGTCAAGCACACAATGGACGTGTCGTCAATTGTATGGGACGCGGGTTCTCGAAGTGAAATCATTAGGCGATTCACGAGTATGACCGGGAGGACGTTGCGGAAGCCCGAGGAGACTTGATTGAGGGTTATCTAGTGACATAACTGGGATAACGACCAAGACCCAAAGCGAGGTGTTTACGCACGCGATTGACCAGGTAAAGCGCAAGGTCAGCAACGTATACAGAGAACATTCTGGTAAGGTTAGACACCGTGAGCAGGGAGCACCGATCCACATAAGGCCAGCCAACTCACATTGCGAAATACATTGTGGATTCTCGTGCGAGGCGAAGGAAAAGAGGATTCCCTCGGCGCTGTTGCCAGACTTTGGCTAAAGCAAGTGCGAGGATGGTGCATTCGACAAGAAGGACCGCGACATCCGACAGTGCCGACCAATATGTAGCACGAAGAGCGCCGTACGCGCACATATGAAGTCCCGGAGCAGGATTATTCGTATCTGTGTTTGCATAGTGGTCTGCCATCTTCGTCAGAATGATTATTCCTGTAGGAGAGGAGTCGGGCTGAAGGTACCTTGAAATCGAATTGAGACTATGAAAATCCACCAGACGATCTCGGCGGTCGACAAAGCAATGCATAGCCACTTCATGAACTTGTGAGCCCCGTACATTGCGTACAGGCGCATCTCCATGACAACTATGTAAGTCTAAGCTGTCAATCGAACCGGTTGAACTCGTAGATGCACGTACCCTGAGTGCTCAAAATGAGGACTGCCTCGCCGAACTGGTCGAACTTGTGGTACTTGATACCTACGTAACATCACAGACGTTTTCGTTAAGAGGCAACGAACCCAGCATCATGTTTACTAACATCTATCGTTGAGGAGCAACGAGATTGTCAGCCTCGTCCACTAAGAGGTCATGGTGGATCCAAAGGGCGTACAACTGGATGAATGGAGCCGGGTCAAACCATCACGAGCGAATAGGTACTGACTACAAATCGCGACGTACATTATATGACGGATTTGGTATAAAAAAGGCTAGAATATAAATGGATGGGTATCAGCGAGAGCCTGAGGGAACTCGTACATTTCTCGCTTACTACTTGCTGCAGCTCTATCGTGAGGTTCACAATGAGTTTCACTACTCAGGCGCGCGAACCACTGCTCACAGTGAATATAGCAGACTATAATATCGGTTCTGACGATGACTCCATCAGTCGAGAGGATCAACAGGGGTGGAGCCTAATTGTTCGCACCCAGAGAAAGATACATTTGGCGCTGGAGAGTCTGGCCTTCTGGCCGTTTCCGAGAAGTCAGGTGAAACGTTCCGGGATCCAGAGAGTAGACCTCACCCAGAACAATTCCACCTAGAGCCACAAACAACGCTTAGTCTGATCTCCGATCGAATGTAGCTAACGACTCACTTCGTTGTCAAGCTGTAGAACTGGAATCCTCAGGCGGAAAATGATTGATGTGAGCGCCGCATTTCGATAAATTCCTGTATTATCCCTTACAGTATTCATGAACTATTAACGCCATGGCGGCTACTGTAGACAAACGTCGGGTAAAGAACATAGGAACAAGAGACATTTATATTTCAGCACTTACAAAGACAGTATCGCTCCGACAAGGCCTGCTGGAAGGCTTCACCTGCCATACTATGGCAGACCCTGGAAAGCGAAAGAAAGGTACGCTAGGGTGTAGTCGGGTAGGGAAAGAAGCAAACGCGAAGTATCCGTTGCATGCGGCACCGACTATTAGTACGGATTGACGCGCGTACCCTCCGGATCCAATCGCTATCAAAAGGACTCACGATAACATTTCGCATCGGTTAAAGGGGGATCATGATCAAGACCGTGCCTAGGAATTTACAGATTGGACTGCTCTAACCCAACTGCTGCCTGATTGGTTGCCACTGACAAGTACTGGGACTAACCTAGGTACCGTGACAGTTAGTACATCTCCGAGTCGTGCGGGCGCAAACCAGCCATCAGCAGTGCGGGAGCACACCTTGCGCGTACGCACAGGAGCAAGTCCAGTCGCTCGAGCTCGATGAACTCCGCCTTGGCTAATTCTGATGTGGTGCTTGAGATATTGGACTGGATGCATATCCAAGCAAGCTGGGATGACATGCAATGCCCGTAGTGCGCCGCTAGAGAAAAGAGTTGCTATGTATGTGCGGCTCTAGCTGATCTAGATCTCTCGAGTCTCATGCAGCACTTTCCTTGAAACTGCGTTGGACCTGTTGTGGGAAAGCCTAGACTTACTGCTACCCTTGTTCACAATTAATAGGGTTTGTTTCGGGAGGACAGTCGCGGCCCTATGTAGGTACCAGCCATTTCTAAATCATAGCTAGAATGTAAACTTAGAACTGATTATTGGTGGCATGCCTTGGATAAAGGTGCTGATAGGTAGCGTTTCAGCCCATGAATTGATACGCCTCCAAACAAATGCGACCTGTGTGGGGGAGACCAAGATTGGAGTAGACAATCGTATCCACAAAGATTTCTTACATCAATTGCAACTTCTCCAGCATTCGCCCGTTTCGCCTCGCCTGCGCACCTTGATTTGTCATAATGCGGATCCCGGCGCTCTGCCACCATCTTTGCTTGATCCAGTAACGATCCTGCTTGTCGATATCAAGTTCAGGGCTTCATGGTCGACTGCCATGCTCAGCCTGTAGCCGTTTTCCTGGACACCCTTGCTGACCATGTTCCTCTGTTACAGACCCTCCGACTCAGCGGCCACTTGCCCCGAGTGGTGAGCGTTATGTCGTGGATTTTCATGGAAGCACGGTCACAGTTGCAACTCCATTGAGCAAGCAGATCATCCTCGGCTGTAGCATTGTATAACGCGTTTGGAGCCTGACGAGAGACGTTACGAAGAAACACTGTAGATTCATGGACGAGAAGGCCCGCGTACTGGCCAAGGTGGGGACCGTGACACGGCGTGCCAGTATAACCAGTACAATAGCCTTGACGCACATAAACTTCCAAAGCATGCCGTCGAGATCAATTAAACGTGACAGAGAGGAGTTGTGCTTGGCCGCGAAGTCAGGTCTTTAAGGAAAGAGTGGGGAGATCGTCAAAGCAGGAGACAGTGACTTTGAAAACGCGTCCGAGGATTCCTTACGGTTGCCAGGGACAGGTTACAGCCTGGCATACTTTCCAGAGCCCTCCTGAATATCTCCAAGCAATGGTTATATCCTCTCGCCGAGGTGAGAAGGATCTATAGAACTTACCTGACTGAGTTGAAGCCATGAGCTCGCGCAATGAATTGCGTATACTTCCGTAGATCCTGATCATACGTACTGACTTCGATACATGGCAAAGGCTGCGGTCCCAGAACAGCAAGTGCCATTTCAGAAAATCAATGGATAAATTATGCGCCGCAAGTATGCAATACATGACACCCAGAACCTAGTAGATATCTAGAACCCACGACGAGAAACAAATGTCTCCATACCAGGTTAGCACAAACAAAGTACAATGGCACGAGAGAATGCGCACCTCTAAATCCTGCTGTGTCGCGACAGCAAGGACGAACTTCCGATCGTAGTCGGTCACTGTACTGACAATATCAGCTGCAGCTCTTTGGCCCATAAGATAGTCATTTCACCTATTGCGAAAATATTGTGCTTCAGGAACTCTTCCAGCTCGGACAGCGGAGTTGCAGGGGTTATTAGCGTATAAGGATGTGACGCCGTCCGTTCAAACTTGGTCATAAACTTCATCACTTTATCGTCCTACAGAGAGCTTAGCAAGAGGAAAGCGTGTTGAACAGACTACTCCTCACCGGATCCGCCTGCCTAGCCTCCCATTTCGCTTTCAGAGCGGACACGTCCACATACCCCAGAGGTTTCCGGGTGCGATCTAAGACCCTGATCCCAACGGTTCATGGGCTACTGATCACAATGAGGTAATATGGAAGACGTACGGGATATAAGAGTAATCTCGCTCATACCCAAGCTCGATGGCTCGTGATACAGCTTCATCAGCAGGAAGTGCAAACGCAGGAGGTAATTGCAGGTCCTGGATACCGTGAGGAACACGAAATCAGCCGCTGCCCGCGTCTCGATCAAGCATGCTCTCATACCTCTACAACGGCACCTCGGTACTTGTCCGCCTGCGGCGTCGTGCCATTCAGCGTTGGGTTCGTAGGACCGGCTAGAGGAGCCACAGAAGCAGCCGCGGAAGACATTCTGGTCAAGGTGTAGATGAAAGTCGCAAGACAAGAGAATATCCCCTGCGGCCGGCCTTAAGGAGGACGCTCGTAGCTTCCATCATTCATACCGTCCATTCGTTCGTGTCTCGCTGTGCGACATTAGGCTATATCTGAGTTGGCAATATCGGCGAAGGCCGACTACCTTTCGTCGGAGGGATGTCGATGAGGAGGTGGCAGCTCCGACGACTCTGAGGTCGAGGCAAGGTAGAGATTGCAAGAGAATAACATTAAAGAGCAGGTAACCGAGTAATCTATTATACTTCCATTCTGTCTTCCGTCTCCCACCCTGGGTTTTTCCTCAAAATCACGAACCCTTCAAGCACAGGCGCGTAAGGAATATACTCTTCTGTTGCTAGCTCCGCACGCTCTGTCGTACCCAGCCGTACAGGCGTGGTGTGCGTCTGGAATCCTGAAATCGTGCGTGGCTTCCCTGCTTGACCAACAACGTCGACAGCCTAGAGATCAAAGGGATGAGCAGTGTAAACTATGGAGAGGAGTACTGGGAGCGTACCTGACCAACCCGGACAGAAACTGGCTTGGAATTCAATTCTTCGTCCAATGTTATCAGGAACCGAGGTGCCATAGCTGGCGTCAGGAAGTAGAGCATCCAGTGGTATTTATCCAGGATAACTATTATTGAAGATACCATCAGCAATCCGACATACATGCGCAAGCATCACACAACTCACATGATTTGGCATCCGTGAACGCCATCAACGTCGCAAGCAGACCAGCAATCCCTGTTCGGCTCATGATATTACGATCGCAGAAGAAGGGATTGATGCTGATAGTGCCCTTGCCCATGTTAACCAAACCTTGGGCAATGCGCACGGTGAACAAGCAATCGGGCTCCTTTTGGTAGTAACCGGCAAGTTGTCGCAGTAGCTGCATGAGCTTGGCATTGTTTGTGCCAGCGCCAATGAGACCCATGGCAAAGATGGCGTTGAGAGCTACTTGAAGATCGTTGTCGTGGCTGTATTTGGAAAGGGTATCGAGAATGTTTAACTGGGGATTCGAGGCGCTGACAAGACCAAGGGCCAAAGGCACTGTCTTCCGGATGATCGGTTCGCCGTAGTGCATCTGACACGAATAGATTAGCATCCAATGAGGGAGAAGGCATATACGAAACCACACACCAGATGATTGAACACTCTGAGCGACATCTCAGCACCGGTTTCCTCGCCCATTGCCACCAGGGCAATACCGAGCACAGCGAACGCCTGGAAAGTGTCATCAAGCTTGGCATCCTCTTTCTTGGCCTCATCCTTGTTCTCGTCCTTATTGTCCTCCTTCTCTTTCTCCTTCTCCTTGCCTTTCGACGTGTTGATGTGGTCCTCACAATGGTGCAGCATCTCCTGAACCTTAAGCACGTTCCCGGTGCCTGCGAAAGAGCACACGTCAACCAGAACTTGCGCCTGCTTCGCGATCGGATGGGAAATGGCTTTCAGAGTCTCGAGCGTTGCGTCTGATTGATCCTGCAGACCTATATACCCGGTGAAACAACTCAACAAAACCACAAAATGCTCCTGAGCTCTTGAGACTTACCGACATATAAGAGAGCTAAGCCCAGAGCCATGAACCGCGCCCACTTCTCATCGAGTGCTTTGTCTTCCCTCTCCATCAATGTCTGCAATATCGTCCCAGCAACCTCTCCGTTCCCACTTCCGACGAAGATGAACCCAAGAGCCAACGCGGAGAGCGACGCGATCTCCATCGAGACACCTTCATCTGCAACGTGAGGCAGCAGAAGGGCGAGGATGTCTTCACGGTGGGAACCGCAGTACGCGAGACCAAGACCCATAATCGCACTCAGCTTCAGGGGAACAGACTTGTTGTCGACATGCTCGCCCAGCAAAGCTAACGGGGCATCCGCTTCCGTTCGGACACCAGTACTCAGCAGGCCGATAGCGAGAAACGAGCCTGCCTATCGAGAAGTACATCAAGATAAGCTGGTGAACGCAAAAGCAAGCACGACAATATCTATCCTTACCTTGATATACTCCTCCGACGAATAGGTATATCTGTCGACATGACTCAATCCGACATCGGTATCCCACAACAAACTGAGACCAAGACTGGCAGCCGCGCTCATCATACCATGGTCTTTGTTCTTGTAGATCCAACTGCTGCCTTCTTCGGCTTCGACCATAAGCTTATCGTTGCCGAACCCAGCATTGACAAAGGCGTTGACGAAGGTACCGGCCAGATTAGCTCGTGCGGAGTCGATGTTAGCTGTAGTACCGGGTCCTGGAAAAGGTATTCAGATTCGCTGGCGGGTCGTACCATTCGTAGTGTAGTAGAAGACGTACGCGTTGTCTCCAGGTGTGACTTGTACACGTCCTCCAGACTCTTAGGCTCCAACACCCCCAACTCCTTCCCGAACTCCTTAAAGTGCGCGCTCAGCCGCGTATTGCTCAGGCACTCGACAAGGTCTTCCGGCATGTCCTCCTCTTCCGCGTCTTCAGCAATATCGCCATCCTCATCTGTCGGCTTCTGCAACCATTCGTAGGGGACCTGAGCGCGTGCTAATAGGAAAGCCAGCTGCCGCTTCATCACTCTGTAGGATATTAGGGACTTCGTACAAGAATAGCCGAGGTCACTTACGGGTTACCGGGGGCATTGAAGTCCTCCCTTATCAGCTCCGGGTCGCCAAGTCGGATTGCCATAGACATGGCCTCAGGGAACCGCTGGTGCTTGATATAGATTTTGTGTATCGTCCGAAGGAATGTGACATCGTCTGGTGGCGGCAGGAAGTTTACACACCTACGAGGGAGTCAATCAAGTACCATGCTACACACGCCAGCGGGACCTTACCGAATCATATACTGGCATACACGCCCAAATGTGTTTTCGTCCACCAACTCCACTATCCGCTCAACAATCTCCAGCTCCTCCATCAAGTCCACAGCATCCGGCTCTGCGTTGTGGCGCAGGAGGAACGTCGCGCACTCCATTCCCAGAGAGTGCAGGTCCTGAATCGTCCCCACTACCTTGCTCTCCTTCTGCGCCTCCTCCTCACCGCGCTCCTCCCGCGCCGTGTACTCCTCCCCGAGCTCTGCGGCAAGGTGGCGGACGTACTCGTGTCCCCAAGAGCCTGGGTCGGAGAGGGGGGAGGAGGGAGGTCGGAGGGAAGCGGATACGAGGCGGTAGCGGAGTGTCCCGCGGGGTTGGGTGTCGGAGTATGTCATAGCAAGACATGAGAGGATATCTGCAAACAGACTCTGCTCTCGCAATGAGAATTTAAACAGGCGAACACGAGCGCTACGTCACGCGTACCTTGTCTTCCGAAGCCGGCCATGTCTCGAAGAGAGCCTGCAGATCGGGGTAATGCGGACGGAGAAACTTGAGCGGTTTCGGCACGGAGGTCATAGACGATGTAGACGTTCTGATCAGTGTCCGGAGCGTCTCGAGGGCTGGGCGGTACAGCTCCGTGTTGGATTCCTGCAATCCATCGGTCAGTGCGGGTTCAGCTCTCGCTGCGATCGCTGCGTGCCTTCAACCGCTCCACGAGCATCTCCAGCTCATTCCGTAGCTGAAGATCCTCCTCTGACTACAGACAAACAATAAACATCCATAAGACATCCACTGGCCCAATCAACATAGCACACTCACGAGATCCTCTCCCTCCTTCGCATCCCCGTTCACCTTCGACGGCCCATCGACCTTGTCCTTCTCCTCATCCTTCTTTTTCTTCGGATCCTGCGCAGGAACGGCAATCGTGGACTCGGCCTTGGACATGAAGGGCGTTCAGTGAGGAGTAGGTAGACAGAGACTTAGACAGATGACCAGTGTAAGGACGCGCGTCGGTGTACTGACGCGTCTCTGAATGCGTAATGGAGCGTGGGAGTTTGTGACCAAAAGACCGAAACAGTCTGTGGCAAGTTGTGGCAACTTCCGGATGCCACACTTCTGAGTTCAAAGAGCAGTTTAGCGCACTTCGCACAGGCAGAGTGAAAAGGGGATATAATTAACCAAGTTATCCTCCATTACAGATGTCGCTATGCTAATACACGAGTATAATGATACATACAGCAGGCGCTCAAGGGCGGCCCAGTTACAACGAGCGTGGGGTATCGTTCCGCAAAGCAAGAGCAGAGCATATGCACAAGAATGAATTCAAACACAACTTGAACTGCGAATATATACAGCGCGCGTCAGAAGAACCGACGGCGCTTCCAGAACTTCAGACGTTGCCGGACGCCTGGAAGATAACCTGCGTGCATAACGGATATCAGCGCTTGCCCGGTGATGGTTTTATGGAGTTGGACAAACCAAAGACAAAGCATGGGCACCAAGCTACCAGCAACAGCGCAAAATGCTGCGTCCCGAACGGGGTCGGAACTGCGCGCCCCTTCCCGACGTCGATCAGCGTAGTTATCGATGCTAGCATTTGTATCACAGAGACAGTTCTGCGAAATTTAGAAGTATATCAGTGGCCTTGAGAGAGGTGTCGAAATAGAATGTACTCACATCTGGAAAACGATGAAATGCCACATCGCACAAGGAGCAGGACCACTAGGAGGCAGCGGCGGTGTAGTCTTGTCTCGCATCATCTCTGAGGAGGAAGGAGAAAGTATTTGAGTAGCGCAACGAAAAGAACGTCGTGACACGCACTACTCAACGGATTCCGCCGCACATACGTCGGCGCCGCCCACCCATCCCCTTCCCTGTCCTCCGCATTCCTCACAAACTCCAGCTCGCTCTTCGACAACTCCAAGCTCCTCACCCACCTCTCCTCATCCTCATCCCCGCCCACAGCCGTCGACGACACCATCTTGCTCAACCCCAGTTCCCGCTCTTCGTGCTCTTTCCCGTGAATCAAGTCGCGGTAGCTCAGCGCGCCCAAGTCGGGGAACGCAGGGAGGGAGCGCACGGAGCCGGGGCGCGAGGGCGGGGCGAAGGTGGGGAACACAGAGGAGATGGACGTGTCCGAGGGGAAGTAGGTCGAGGACTGGTGCGACGGCGGCCGGGGAATGGGAGAGGGCGATTTCGCCGGCTGGCGATTGAACGGGAGGTGGTATTTCCGGGCGAAGGACGCCACCTCCGGGCTGGTCGGGACGCGCCCGGGGGACTGGAGCAAGTGCGGGTTGGACAGCACGGCGGATGAGGTGGGCGAAGGGACGGCGACGGGTGTGGGCACTGCGAGCGTCGAGGGCACCGGGGTAGGCGTGTTCGCATTCCGTATGTCCGCGCTCGTCCTGAATTCGAGGCTCTTGCTCTGACGCGACTGCCTCCGCGCAGGCAATGGCGTGAGAGGGTCCAGCGTATCTTGCCGTTGGTACACGCATCCTCTCTTGCGCCCATTCGGAAGGTGAGCTTGCTTCTTTAGCAAGCAGATCGCGGAGATGGACGACAGGAGCAGACTTGGTATCGAGAGGAGCAGCGGAACGCCGGCATACCCGAACAAGCGCACCCTAGGGCACACTCGGAATTATTACAGCATGCGATAATCGCAGTAAAACTACGCACCAGATGGGGTGGGTTGCTTCGCATAGCAGGTCCTCCGTGGGAGTCGCGGCGTCCAGTCGAAAGAGAAGGGAGACGTATACGACAGATGCTAGTAATGGGTAGACCACAATAAATATGATATAACGAGGGTGCCAAGAAAACGGTCTGCGGAGCGGAGTCAAAAATATTGAAGATCGTGAAAAGTGTGCGGCACGAACGAGATAGTGGTCCCGGTGTTGTATTGGGGCCGAAACAGAGAAATGATAGTTCCAAGAGTGAAAGACGCAGTGACCCCCGTGAGGAGAAAAGAACCTAGGCTGACGAGAACATTCTGAACTGGAGATGAGAGTGGATCAGCGTTTCGGTAGGGCGTATTTATTGTATGATGGATGGCCAAGGGTCGGTGACTCTCTGGATTGAGGAGAGCTTTTACTCACCGATGCAGAACGCCCTAGGCATTTCTAGCGGTTCCATTCTCCAAATAAGACCTAGGAGTTGATATGTGTAAGAAATCAATATTAACGTCAAAGCCAGGATTTCTGGAGGCCCGGGCCGATATGTGAATGAGAGATTGGTGCTCACCGAGACAGAAGACGCCCTGCATGAGAGTGACGCCCAGACAATACAGGAGAGGTCCCCAAAGTACTTGGACGACATTGGCAAAGACCACGAGCACGACCCAACAGCAGATTAGACCTGTCCATCGCCGTCACTCAGGGACCCGTCTCCATTAATTATCGGGAGTCCATAACGCACCAGAAAGCGAGAGCGAAAACCAGACCGCCCGGAGGGCAAAAGGCAGCATCGCTGGACGGTCGAGGGGGGCGACCGAGCAGCAGCTGGAAGTGAGCGCCTGAGCCTCAAGGCAACGCCGCCAACGCAGGCATGGGCCAATAATAAGAGGGAGGGAAAGAAAGTGCTGGGGGCGGGTTGCCGGCTGCTGATCCGTTGTCACACTATGACCGTGGGAACAGATCTGCGTATTGCCTCCGTAGTTGGTATCTTGAACCTTAGATTGCCCCACTACAGATGACTTCACTGGATCTAATGGCGCTGCGTACAGCGTTTATAGTCTATCATAGAGTCCACCATGTCAGACTTTATTCGTCGCATAGTCTCCGGAAACAAAGCGCGATTCAAGGATGAAACGCTCGACGTCGAGCTCGGTATGCTTCTCCTTTCGATGGCTAGAAGACATCAAGGTTTTGATTGTTCGCTGATGCTTCGCATGCGCAGACTTAGCGTATATCACCGACCAAGTCATCGTCATGGGGTATCCTGCCACGGGCCTAGAGGGGTTCTACCGAAACCGCAGAGAAGACGCGAAGAAATTCCTCGAACACCGACATGGCAAGAACTACTGGGTCTTCAACTTTTGTCCCATCAGAGAGAACTCGTACCCCGCTAGCTTTTTTGACGGGCGAGTTAGCAGATATCCCTTCCCAGATCATCAGTAAGTATCCATCTTTGTGTTCGGGACTCCCGGGGGCCAAAGGCATCTCTATGCCCATTCCTGCAATCCCCATCCCTCTCTTGAGTTCAAAGAACCGCGTGTTAGCTTAGCTGCCACCGATATCGGGGGATACGCAAGCGCTGCGGGGGAACACGCAAGGTTTTGCGTTTGCGTTGCAACGATCAAGACATGGCACGATGCTTGCGATACGCTAGATGCTTCGAAATGATAGTGGCGTTTCTCAGTGTTCGGACGGGTGCCACTCTGCAGCAAAGAGCCTCCTTGGGTTTAGCATAGCAGCGTAGCGGGATGCACACAAGGCGTCCTCGCGCTCGAAGCTCACTCTTGTGAGATCCGCGGTCGCCTCGCACTGCACGTAGAATCTCCGGTTGTGACAGCGGGCAATGAGTTTCTCCAGACCGTTTGCCATTGCCTTCGTCGCGATCGTGTTCGAAGATCGTATGTGACAGGAGTCTGGATGACTAACCTCCCGTTATTCACAGTGCACCCCCTTTAGCCATCCTGCCCCTGGTAGCCCGCGAAATCCGCGTATGGCTTGAAGGCTCCAAAGACCGAGTCGCCGTCCTTCACTGCAAAGGTATTTGCACCTTTTTGTCTCGCGTGCCGTGATATTGAATTTTGACTGAATGCATTTTTATGCCCGCTGGAAGCTGGTAAGGGCAGGTCCGGCACCATGGCCTGCGCGTACCTGTTGACCCAGGTTAGCCTTCCCTCCAATGAGGCTAGCAACGATAAAAAGTTGGTAGAAGAGCGTGCAGAGGAGCTTATGGACGCTATGCCCTCCGACGAAGACACCGTGGCGCTCACCGACGGGCCAGCCGACGAGTCAGCGGTTGAGGGTCCTATTGTCGATCGGAAAGCAACCTCCTCCCCCCGGCCTGTCTCGGTCTCCAGTACTACCGTGTCCGGGTCAGGATCAAGCACGCCTAGCAGCAAGCCTACAGCAACCCTGCAGCATGTCCTCGACCTGCACACGTCGAAGCGCATGAAGCCACCTTCTCCTTCAAGCAAGTACGACAACGACACCGAGAAGCCCAAGAAAGTTAAGCAGGGGGTGAGCATCCCCAGCCAGCGCCGCTGGCTCTACTACTGGTCGCTCCTCCTGGCGCACGAGGGCCCGCCCGGATTCTGGTCCTTGTCCCCGCCCGCACAACCCAAACCGCGCATCCGGCTGAAGGAAGTGAAGATCCGCATGCGCGAGCCGACGGGGGTGAAGGCGAGCCTGTTAAAGGCGGTGAATGCGGTGATTGACCGGAACGCGTTCGCGAAGACGGCAACGGGGGAGGGACAGGTCTGGGTATCGCTTGCAAGGTACGACGACGAGTTTGTGGAGACGCTGGAGATGTGGGAGCGGTGGACGAGGGATGAGAGTGGGGATATGGGGAAGCGGAGGAGAGGGGCGGAGGAGATGGAGGGGAAGGAGTTGAGTGAGCTGTTTAGGGATGGGAGGTGGGATCGGACAAAGATGGTAAGGAGTTTTGCGAGGCTGGGGTTGGCGAAGTCTGGGGGTGTGCAGAAAGAAGGTGATGATAAGGTACGGCGTGCGTGCTGGACCTCGTTCTACGGGTTCATCGATTCTCGATTAACAGGAAGACAAGAAATATACGTATACTGTTCGACCACTATCGAGCGAGTCATGGAGACATATAAAGGACGAGATTGAACATGGCGGACCTGCCAGCGGCCCATCTAGTGGCTTGAAGTCGGAAGCAACTTCCATACACGAGAGCCTCCCCGCCGCCGAAGGACCAGGGATAAGCGACCTCGGCGTGGTGCTCGATCCTCACAGAGAGCTGCGACTGAAGCTGTACATGGGGCAGGTACTCTCCTTACCTGTCATACTCAACTTCCTGTGGTGTAGCTGATTTCTCTCCCTAGATATTCTTGGGCTGGCTGTGGTTCATCCCGCAATTCCATATGCCTCCGGACTCTACCGAACCCGTGCACCTCACCTTCGAGAAGAAAGACATCGACTTCCCCCTCGGCATAGGGTCAAATATCATCAATGTGGAGGTAGTCATGGAACAGGTACCGTCGGCCCAGGCGGCTAAGGAAGAGGTGCAGCCTCCTCCGAGGGCCACGACCGTAGAGGCAGAGGAAGGCGTGAAATCTGAGCCTGTCGGGCTGGCTGCCACAGTTCAGGCTGTGGCTGCGGCTCCTAACTTGGGGAGTATAGTTGAGGCGAAGCAAGCAGCGGAAGATTGACCTCATTGTAAGACGCATTTACTAGCTTCACATCCTATTACGGTGTCTGCTTCAGCCTTCAGGCTTGTCTGCAAGCACAGTAGTGTGTACTCGACCGCATGCTGCCCTGAACATGCGACGCTTGTCTTTATTACTTCGACTTCTGGAATTCGAAGCATCCGCTTCTTAATTATGGTTAATTGGGACTCAGCGTGAGTCTAGCGTGAAACATAATTGCAGAGTATGTACTCTGCTTGTAAGTAACGATAACCGTCCATCCAAATTGCACCGCTGTAAGTCTTGCGGCCTAGTTGAGGACTCTGTCTCCATGACAACTTATTCCATCCCATTCCCGACGTTTTCCATATGTTTTCTTCCCGTTCGGGGTGTGGCGTTGCCGCCTCGAGGAACAAATACCATTTTGGGCACCCTTGTGCCGGCGGAATGACTTAAGCGAGAAACCTCGGCTGATGCTCCCCAAGTTCCCGACCCTCATCGACCACCGCGAAGGACACGAGTTGTTGAACTTTCACCGCTACCGTTGGCCCTGTGGCCGAAGCCACATTCAAGAGGTGGGTATTTAAGGGAACCTTGTCTCGCGGATTCACCTCACCTCTTCCATCCGACTACAGCGAGGCTGTTGATGCGCGTGGCCGGACTTCACCTCGAGTATTACCCCAATTGCACCCCGCTCGACCACCGTAAACAGCATGCCAGTAAGCTCTGAGTCCACTGGAAGCTCGTCAACGATGATGCCGCCCCCTTCAGCCGTGCCCGAGAGGCGTCTTGCGCGGTCTGCGTCCGCTCGCTACCCGTCGCATCTCGCTCGGGACGGCCGCGTCCGTGTGCCTCTGGCGACAAGGACTGACACCTATGAACGGTTGGAGGATCTGCTGAGGGAGGCGGGATACAAGGAGACGCGTGTGTTCACTCCGGAGACTGAGCGATACGATGAGGAGGGCAAGACCGAGGGGCGAGGGGCGAGAGGAATGGGTGCCGTCGTGAGCTTCATCTCTGGTTTCATGCGGCCTGCGAAGGAGGAGAAGGGCGGCCAGGGAGACTCTGGCGACAAGTCCGAGGGTTCGTCAGCTTTGCAAGGCGGCCCTTCTCCTCCCACCGCTCTTTCTCGCTCTACGTCGTCTCGGTCGTCGCTCGACCACGCACGGTCGTCTCATGCATCATCCCCGAAGTCGGACTACATCGACATTACGTCTCCTAGACGCGCCGCTCGGCAAGCGCCACATGCCAACGTCGCAGCCTACGACCAACTCGACTACCTCCACCGACAGCTGCCACACTCCCGTCCGAAACCACACAATGCGCACTCTCAGCCTCTTCCCCAATCCCGTGCTCGCGCCTACCTTCGTCACATGGCATCTGCGCCCAACATGCCGCAGCGGCGCGCTGCTCCCGCGCATACGCCCAGTCAACTGCATCAGAGCCAGAGTTTCTCAGACGTGGAAGACGAGCCAACGCCCCCGCTACCATCCACCTGGCTCGAAGCCGTCGCGAAAGCTGTCTTGGGCAGCGGAGTCCCTGGCGCGCACGCCGGCCGCCCGACAGCGCATACGTCTCTTGGCCGTGCACAGTCGAAGACAAAGTCAAAACGGTCTCACTCTGCACTGTCGGATCGGACGAACGCTCGCGCGCTCCCGACGATCATGTTGCCACGGTCTCAGTCGAGTACGGCTCCCGTTGTATGCACCACGCAAGTCATGTGCCAGTCGGCGCCGGGATCTCGTTGCCCATCCCGCGCGAATAGTATTAAGAGCCTGCGGCGCGGAAGGGACAGCGTCAAGAGATCGCGAAACACGGACAGGGACCGCCTCCCGTCGCTGGCCAGCACGCGTGTTGAAGGCGATATGCTGGCTCTCTATCTCGAGGGAGACGGCAAAGTTCGGGCCTCCGAAGATGCGGAGTTGGACGACAGCAGCGACGAGGAAGGCGAGATTGACCTTGCACGCCTCCTTGTCCCGCCTAGACGGCAGAACTCCATCAAGAGTCTGCGGAGGCACCTCCACCGGGAGGAAAGTCTGACAAGGCTGAGTCGGGCGAATGTGAGGGCCAGGGCGCCGAAGTGGGACGAGGAGAATGATGGATTTGTTTGGGGGGTACGGGATGGTGAGGCAGAGGAGGAGCGGTGGGGGACGTTCGAGAGGTCAGGGTCAAAGAGGAGGAGGGCCATTCCTAACGGGTGGGTGCAGTGGACTGGCTCAAGGGCATAGAAGGCGGTCAAGACGTGCAGAGTTCCCCGTAACCCAAAGCGAGCAAGACAAGAAGTACAAGAAGAAGAATACAGCAATTATACGCATCGTTCACTACATCGCATCCACATATTTATTCCATCTTGCCGTTTAATCATACGGACCTTGGCCAAGCTCGTCTTTTCTCTAGTACGCATATCATACTCTCCGCATCATTTTATCGTCCATCTGCCTACCTACATGCACTCGTTTGAATGTCGCCTAATTCGTCTGCACACGCGGAGGGTTGCTATAGAGGATTTCATTAGGACCCTGGCGCAGACCAGTACTATATTGTACAGTAGTCTACTTTCTTGTTACCGCTGTACTCCTCTAATGTCACTGTTAGACTTCGGAAAATGCACTGTTTGCGATCCTGTTCAGAAGGTATGGCATGGCTCTAGTGCAATATCAGGTCCTGAGGCCTGAATGGTGCGACCGTGCACAGCACATGTGAGTGAATTCAGTGTAATCTAGTGTTGATGAGGGATCAGCTGCGCAGACATCCTACGCAATATATTCGCAAGCCCACAACCGAGCCAGAGGCATGGACCTGGTTCTGCACTGGGATTCCGAAGACAGAACATCAAAAAGGGGGGATAGGACCAAGTAAATGGACAAGCTGGCTTATATTGAAGAACTCGGGAAGACGTTTGCCAACAGGATTTCTCGCAGCTCCGGTAGTGAACGAGCCTGAATATACCGACGACACAGGTAGCAGAGACCGAGTCTGAACTGAGATCCTGCTTTGTGTGCTTCTGCAGAGCCCGCAGTACTAGTACGTCCTCGCTGTCGCGTATTACTTGCTGAAGATCGTTCTGCAGCTTCTCTCTCACGAGAAATGTACATACAACACCGTCCTCGTTCTCCGAGTTAGAGTCCGAATCCCAGTCGGGGTGATGGGGAAAATCCCAATTACGAACGGCCTCCTCGGCGGCAGCTACCATCTTCGTACATCCGGTTAGGAGGTAATAGTAGTTATCCAGTCAGAATCTTCCACTTGACACTCCGCACGCCCTTCAAGAGCGCGCGTTCCTGCTTCTCTATGGATAGTGAGCCGTCTGGACCATACGCCATAGATACACAGGAAAGGAGGTAAAAGGTGGCGGGCAGAATAGCAAGGTCTTGGCGAGCTGTATGGCCGACCGCTGGCTCCGGAAGGTGGAAGTAAAGAAACCTTTTGTGCTCGTACACCATCCCTTCTTCGTGAATGCAATTTCGGCTGCCAGCGTATCCCAGCCATGAAGAGTCAAGAGTAGTGTCGACCGAACGAGCGCCGGCATGTTCGGGTCCATTGACAGGCGCTTAATTAAAGAGGACTGAGAGTCCTACTCTTAGCGTACGCGTGGGCAAACAAATTGAAAAGGAAGGACCCAAGCAGACAGAAAGCACTTCTTTTGACAGGAAGAAACTCCACTAGAGGCTCTCGTACCTCTGCACTATCGGGAATCCGACTTCAGGTAGTCCCTCGAAAGTGCGGTTTGCGTTCGAAGCGGGTAGTAGGTTAAATGTGTCTGCGAATATGGGCGACCCCTTACAAAGCATGGATCGATTTGAGCACACGAAAGCCGTAAGCTCAGAGTATGATGTTCCCGTTCGAGAGCCAGAGCGATTCACTCTCTTAGAAGGGGTGTGGTGCCACCTCCGGGTTGGCTTACTGTGGCAGCCTGAGTCTGGCTCAGTGGCTGAGGCGAGTCTAGGGACTGGCACAGTCGCGGGAATCCCGGAACCCGCCTGAGCGGGACCTCTTCCGCAGAAAAAGGCTTCCGCGGAAGTTTATTCCCACGTCATCCGCGGGAGTGACTGTTACTTAATGCTGGCTTCTCATTGGCTGGGAGATGTCCGCACCTGTCACATCTTGATGTACTCGAGTATGTATCGCCAAGTACGGTTTCCGTGGGAGTTTCAAACTCCGCTTTCCGCGGAAATCCTTTCCGTGGAATTACCACAGGCAGTCCCCGGAAGGGCCCGTGCCAGTCCCTAGGCGAGTCGCGTCGCGTCCAATCAGTGCGTCCCCTGTCTACGTGACCGCAGCACGTGATCCTGTGGCGGCGGAACAGGCTGCCAGTGCCCAATTTCGAAGTCTCATCCTGTGAATCCCCCACTCGGTCGATTGAGGAAACCCAGTGCAGAAGTACAGCACGATGTTGGTTTTGGGATGTGGAGTTGCCCCCGATCCTGCCCATCTGTATCGCGCTCAGGTTAGCCACAGCCCATGGCAGGCTTGCGGACGGTTTGTCACCAAACCAGCGCTATGCAGACGCTGTGCATATTAAGGTAAGTTGAAGTGAGTTGGACGTGAAGAATTTCCGTAGTTGTTCTTCGACCGCCAGCGTGCCTTCTGCCTAGACTCTCGTGCCCTTAGACTTGCTTCTCATTGTCACTGTAATCCATCGGAAGCTGTATATTTCGACCTTCAACGTACTCATCCTCAGCATTGTACGCGACAGTGTCTGCGACCAGGAACTTACTATCCGCCCGGACCACCGGTCGCCGAATTTCGGCCACGAGACACTGGTTCATCCTAGGTGACCATGCGCGCAGGTAGTTCTCGCTGATTTCGTCCGCGTGTCCAGATGATTCTGACGGAGACATAGGCCCCAATTGCAAGATTTGGTAACCACTCCGGTCGACACTCCTTCGGAGGCAGAACCACTGGCAGGTGTCACCCCTGGTGATGAACTTTACTCCCGCTAAATATCCGCGACCTCTCACTCGGTGCTGAGGGCCAGCATTCAAATACGATAAGATGTCGCATAACGTAGAGAGTCGTGCTCGATGTGCTCTCTCCGAATGGTGACCTTGATCTCCTGCTTAACTTTTCTTACCTCCCTCCTTCTAGGAGCACAGGGTCTGCAGTACAAATGTGCTGACTTCTCCTCCTTGCTCGTGACGGAAGCCGCGGGCGTTGAGTACTCAGAAAACGGTTCTCAGAAGAGCTTCGAGACAATCCTGGCGAGCCACGGAACGAATCTCGCCAGGATTAGAGTATGGACTGCTGGTGATTACGATGTCACACACGCCCTCGCTATCGCGAAACGTGCCGAGGCAGCTGGCATGTCTATCCTTGTGGATTTGCATTATAGCGATACTTGTGAGTAGACTCGCCGACCACCATCTGTATAGTCGTCCTATTTATCTGAATATCGTGCCGCGGGTGTACTGGATGTTGCCATACCTTAGGGGCGGATCCAGGGAAGCAAGCTATCCCGTCGGGGTGGCCGACCGACCTCAATGGCCTAAATACCAAGATATATGCGTAAGCAGTCATAGGAACACGCATACATATGTTTTTGGCTTGTTGAACCTGGGAAATAGATACACAAAGGACGTAGTCACGTCTTTCGCTAACCAGGGCACACCTGCTTCCATCATCCAGGTCGATACCCCGTTCTCTCGTCCCATTCTCACCGCTCAGGCATTTTCATTCCCAGCTCGGCAACGAAATCAACAGCGGCTTCCTCTTTCCCGTCGGCCAGATCTCGAAGAACGGCTACAACGGCCTCTCGTAGCTCCTGCACTCCGCCGCGAATGGTGCGCGCGCAGGCTCCTCCTCCGTCAAGACCATGATCCACCTCGCGAATGGCTGGGACCGGTCCAGCATCGCGACGTGGTACAAGAATGTGCTGAACTACCAAGGCGCGTTCGCCACGGGCGACGTGGACATCATGGGCTTCTCGTTCTACCCGTTCTACAACACAGACGCGACGCTGAGCGCGTTGCAGTCGAGCATGAGTGGTATCACGAGCACGTATAAAAAGGTGAGCTCACGCGCTTGTCTAGAGCTCAAGTGCTCAAAGCCTTGTTGTAGCCTTTCATGATTGTAGAAACAGACTGGCCGGTACAATGCTCCGGCGTGAGTATGAGCGAGTCTTCCATCCCCATATCTGCTTCCGGTCAGGAGACGTGGGTAGCCGATATAAGAAATACGATCTCGAATGTCCCAGGCGCCTCCCCGCTCGGTATATGCTACTGGGAGCCGGGCTGGATTGGCAACGCTAATCTGGGATCCGGATGCGCCGTTAGTGCAGCACTGTCTTACATATCACTCGCGTTATGCTGACCCAAAGGAACAGGACAATCTCCTAGTCAGCTCTAACGGCGCGACAAGGTCGTCCATAAAGATGTTCTCCTCCGACATGTGAGTTCTGACAGGCAGTGTGCGGCTAAGTGTCGGTTGTACCGCATTGTCATGAGAATGATTGAAGACGATTCATCGTCAACCCTGAGCAAAATACATGATTATTTGACTAGTTGACTACGTTCTACGCTACTCTAGTATGACCGCCCGAACAAGGTATACTTCTTGGCGAGCCGTCCACAGGCGGGGCAACATGTCTTGCCGCTGATGATCTTTGGCCAGCGAGACTGGTCGAAGGGAATCGCAAGTGACTTCGCTCCCGCTGATGGCGCACGCTCGTCTGTTTGCTCAGACCTGCATGCATCCCATACGTTAAGCGTCAGAATACTGTGCAGAGACATGCACTTACCCTCTCGCACTCCGCTCCTTGATATCGTCCTCGCATGCCTCCTCCTCGCACCAGGGCATCGCGACAACGCACTTGGCATCCAGCGTCGGGACGAAATCTTTCCAATCCGTGACGAGTTTGACGCGTGAATCATAAATTTCCTTTGCACGGGTGAACATGTCCGACTGGATTGTCTCGAGCAGCTTGGGCACTGCCGTCTGGATATCTGCGAGTGGCAGAGGGGCCTTTGCTCCGTTGTCTCGGCGGACAGACATTGTCTGCTCCTTCTTCAGATCATTCGGACCGATTTCGAGTCGCAGAGGAACACCCTTTAATGCGCAACGCTCGGTCAGTCTTCTACGAAGCTACTGGCATCTGGTTTACCTTCTGCTCCCAGTCGTTGAACTTGTAGCCGGGAGTATATCCGTCCCTCAAATCTGCCTTTGCCTTCACGCCCGCCTTCTTCAGCGTCTTTTCCAGATCGAGGCAAGCATCGTTGATGCGCTTCCTTTCTTCGTCTGTCGCCTTTGCTGTAATACCGCAAGGGACAACAACCGCCTGTATGCCTGCCACGCGTGGAGGCAAAACCAACCCCTGGTTATCTCCGTGGACCATCACCATGACACCGATCGTTCGTGTCGACAAGCCCCACGAGTTCTGCCAGACGTACACCTTGCCCCGCCCGGTGGGGTCGTTCGGGTCCTCGACCATGATGTTGAACATCTCCGGCCGGGAGAAGTTCTGGCCGAGGCAGTGGGACGTCGCCGCCTGGATGCCGCGCCCGGAGGTTGGGATGAAGCCCTCGATGGTCGTCGTGTACAAGCCGCCCGCGAACTTCTCCTTCTCGGACTTGATGCCCGGGATGACGGGGACCGCGAGGAGCTCTTCGTAGACGCGTCGGTAGAGGTCGAGGATCTCAAGAACTTCCTGCTCGGCTTCGGCTTTCGTGAGGTGGGCTGTGTGGCCTTCTTGCCAGAGGAATTCACGCGTGCGGAGGAACGGCTCTGGGCTACAGTGTCAGTAGTGTCGGTATGGATAATTACGTGCAGGTAAGGAGACTGACGGGGGCTCTTAAACTCCCAGCGGACGACACTGTTCCACTGGTTGAGTTTAAGAGGAAGATCTCGGTGGCTCTTTATCCACTTCGAATAGTCTGAGTGTGAAAGATTCAAATCAGCGATCGTGTGCGAGCGTCCGGTGGAGTGCGCACTCACAGGGGTACATAGCAGTTTCAGAAGTTGGCCGGATGGCGATGGGCTCCTCGAGGTCCGACTGGCCGCTGGGTTCGTAATGTCAACTCACATGGTGAGCAAGCTGACCGATGTGCACATACGCTCGCGTTACCCATGCTACCTCAGGAGAGAAACCCTCGATATGGTCCTTCTCCCGTTCCAGCACTTTTGACGAAACAAACATCGGGAAGTATGCATTTTCGACGCCCATCTCCTTAATGCGCGCGTTAAACCACTCTTATCCGCCAATCAATCTAAGTCATCCCGATCAACGCAAGGCAGGCAGACATACCTTGGATTGATTCCCAGATCGTATACGACCATGGCTTGAGAATATAGCAACCACTGACGCTGTAGTAGTCCAGCATGTCTGCCTTCAAGAGAACCTGCGTGCAAACGTTCAGGTGACAAGTAGAGCGCTAGCCAGTGCATGCGTGCACTAACGTTCGTGTACCATGCAGCGAAATCCACTTCCTTCTTGACACCGATGGCAATCTCGATAGCGCCCTCGATCTTTGCATCTTCTTTTTTCTTCTTTTCCGGGGCTGCTTTCTGAGCAGCAGGGGCGGGGGCGCTGGTTTCTGACTTCAGGGCCTCAAAGTCTATCTCGTGGACTTTGAGGTCCTCCTTCTCCAAGTGTCGTAGATATGAAACGATATCCTTGCCAGACAGGAAGATGGTGGAGCTGGATGACTGTGCGTGCAGGGCAAAGACGGAAGACGAGTTTGCAATGGACGAATCCACCACCGTGACCACCCGGGGGAAAGTGTTCTCGTCTAATGCAAGGGGAGACACTGCGCGCAATCATCGTCGGACACCGTTGCATTCACAGGAGTGCAGAGACATACAAGAATTTTTATCGAGGTTGAAGAACTCTTTCAAAAGATCCTCTGATGCTAACCGGAGCTCCTTGAGGTTCAGCTTCTTCCCCAGTGCGCCCGAATTCGTCTCGGTCTCCTCTCTTGCGATGACAACCAGGGGGACTGGCGTCGCATTTTTTGCGGTCTTCGGCTTGAAGACCAGCGTCTTGATGAGTTCAAAGTCGCCAGGAGCGTCCGGATTCGACTTCAAAGCCTCCTTCCATTCGGCCGGAGAACTGGTTTCCTTGTGCGACACGCTCGCTGCAGGCTTGATCGATAAAGCCGAGAACGACTGCGAAAGAGACTCCGTGGACGCCATGGTCGACAGCAGGCAGAAACAGGTGTTTAATGGGAGAGGGGCACGAGCCCCAATAGTAATAGCAGGATACGATTTTAGTTGTGACTCGACGCGTTTGGCCGTTATCAGATGTCTCCCAGCGGATCGAGTCCACTGCCGTATCGCGAGCGTCCTGGCCAGCATGCGACACCGCGAGCGAAGGCAGATGCGACCCAGGCGGCCAGCAACTGCGGTATAGCAATTGGAACAGGCTCAAAGGCCGCTTACACCGTGTACGAAGGGGGGCAAGCGATTATCTATACGACTATTATGCTAATACTCTATACCATCTATACTTTTATTACGTCGGCGCAACGCCGGCACAATATTTCTTCGGGATGTCTAGTAAATGTCCAGCAGCGGGGGCATTTCGTCAAATTTGCAGGTCGGACCACAACGCGCAGATCGTTTCCTGTCATAAGAGAGTGAGTGTAGAACGAGATGATCCTCAGCTAGCAACCCTCACCGTAGTCGGCCTCATGCTTCCACGGAAGGGAAGTATGGTCTTCCGGAGTTTCATCATGGACAGATACATCAGACACGATGAAAAGAGTTCTCAGAAAGTCCTCTGTTGAAAAGGCCCTCAGAATACAACTCGAGACTGAACGAAAGCTGAAACTTACGTTCACGCCGTAATAAGGGATGAATGTCCGTCGACTGGTTTCGCACCAGAATCTCGACATCAGCTTCAAGAGAGCTGCCGATGTTCCTGCAACGCAACGCAGCTCGATCACCAGAGGACGAAGTCGCGGCGAACAGCTGTCTCTCACTTGTTCCGCCGAGCCTTCTCGAGCAATGCAAGCACATCCGTCCGAAGACTCAGCAAGCGATTCATGTCGCCTTCGACGCAGGGATTCTCCCACTCGGATGGCTGCCACAGCAGATGATCAGCATCAATTCACAAGAGCCATATATACAGCCATACCAAAGGCTCCCAAGTCGTGGTGAACACCGACCTGCCCGACGCCGGGTCTTCTGCGCCTGACATGACATGATGAACGTCTTCCGCGAGGTGCGGCAAGATGGGGGCCATCACAAAGACCATTGTGCGCAGAACCTAAGGGGTCCGGTGTCAGTTGTGAGGCCACAATCCCACTCGAAATAGAAAGCACCTGTTCGAGTACGGTCAAGACAGCTCGGCGCTGCGCACTATTTCGCGCATCGGCATATAAGCAGTCTTTTGTGACATCGAAGTACAGCGACGACAGGGTCACGTTGCAGAAGTTGCTCATGGCATTGACAACTTGAGCACACAGTCAGTTTGGAGCGCGCACAGTTAAGCTAAGGGGATGCGTACCCTTGGCGAAATTGTAGGTGGCATAGCCTTCCCTGGCAACTTTATCGAGTTTGGTGAGCTCATGCAAGACGTACCGGTCTGCCTGTGACAGCTCGTTCAGTTTGCTGATCGTATTTAGACGTAGACAACTCACGAGAGACATATTGCGCGATCCTACTGCCACTCTCTCAAGACATTCCAGACTGCGACCATCCTCGAGAACCCCGAGGATGAACCTGGCCGAATTGCGTATCTTACGCAAAGACAGGGCACATTGGGCGAGCACATTTGAGCCAATAGCTGCATCGTTCCAGTACTCCACCGTCGCCGCCCACAGACGAAGAGTGTCCGCACCATACGGCGGTTCTTTCTTTTTATCCTACCAACTTAGTCAGTGCATTCCCTATGGGCATAATTCGACGCAAGACGCACTTTTCCCCCGCTGATGACGGTCATCGGGCTAATGATATTCCCCAACGACTTGCTCATCTTCTTGCCCACAGGATCGAGGACCATTCCATGTGTTATCAGATGCTTATACGGCGCCACTACCCGCCCTTCAGCCTTGGTCGCAGCTACAGCTGTCAGCAGTTGGCTCTGGAACCAGCCGCGATGCTGGTCCGTGCCCTCCACGCAGACATCTGCGTAATACGGCCGTTCGGCGTCTGCATTTTTTACCAAGTCGCGCAACATGGTCCAGGACGTGCCGCTGTCGAACCATACGTCCATCGTGTCCGTGCCCTTGCGGTAGAGTGCGGCCAAGTCCTCACCCTCCTTCCGGAGGTGCGGAGGGACGAAGTCCTCGACGGAGCCATCCCACCAGTGAGCTGTGCCCCTTGTTCCCAAAACGGACAGGATGTGTTTCAGACTGACTCCGTCCATGATGGCGGTGTCTGTAGGTACATGGTAGAGGGCGGGGATTGGGACGCCCCAGACTCTTTGACGAGAGATACACCACTCTGAGCGGTTTTGGACAAACGACTGCAGTCGTCTTCGCGCTAGGGTATATATTAGTCGAGAAGCATCGAGTCCTGCACCGCAAGAGCTCACAACCAGCAGGGAAGAACGATACTGAGTCAAGGGTTTTGAGCGCATCTCCCTTGATAGAGTTGAGATCCGCAAACCACTGCGAAGTGGCCCTATGTCACGGATATCAGACGCGTCGCAATTGGGTAAGGCATCGTAACAACTCACAGCATGATGATCGGCTGATCCGTCTTCCAGTCATACGGATACCGATGCTTAATCTTCTGAACCTTCACCAGCACGCCCATATCACCCAGTACTTCAATGATCGCTTTATTGCCATCCTTCAGCACCTCCTTGCCAACCAGCTTACGGCCTACAGACTCCCCGACGACCTCCGAGACTTTGCTGCTGAATTTACCTTCAGCGTCGACGTGGCAGAACATCCCGGTGTCGCTCGATCCCTCCCTTGGCTTCAACAGGTCGAGGCTACGGAAGACCATGTAGTCCTCTGCTCCGTGCGCGGGCGCGCAGTGGACGAGACCCGTACCGGAGTCCGCCGTGACATGGTTGGAGGGCAGGATCCTGAGGGGATATCTGGGAGTGACGTCCTTAGCGACGGGGAAGAATAGCGGGTAGTAGGTGGAGTCCACCAGTTCGGAGCCTGGATGTTCAAGCGTCAGTATTACGCGTGTTTGAATATATCCAATGTTATAGCTTACCTTCAACCTGAGCAATTTCCTCGACCTCGCCGAGGATATCCGTAAGGTCAAAGACCCTCGTTGATCCTACGATGAAGGTTTTACCAGTCTTCTTCTGACTCAATATCGAGTACTTCAGCTCCGGATGTACCGCAATACCCTAGCATCAGGTCAGCTCGCACTGTGGAGCAACACACTGCAGGCGACTAACCATATTTGCTGTCAAGGTCCAGGGCGTCGTTGTCCACACGAGTAGATGCGAGTCAGGCCGAGAAGCCAAGAGGGTCTTCAGAATCGGGCGCATGCTCTCCCCCTTCGTGTCCATGTGGAATGCAACGTACACCGAGTGGGAGACGTGGTCGTCTTTGTACGTGAGCTCCGCTTCCGCCAAAGCCGATCCTGACGACGGTGAATAATGCACTGGTCGGTAGTGTCGATATACGAGCCCTACAAAATACTGCTAAGCAACGAGTACACGAGAGTGGGAAGGCAATCTCACCGGCTTCAACCATAGTCTTAAAAACTTGTAATTGCCGCATTTCATAGGCATGATCTGGAGTGGTCGGCCATCAAGCAGATATTCACGTTGTGAATGATGAGATAGATATACTTGCCCATAGTGCGATAAGTCGTTCCAGAGCTCCAGTCCGCCATAATCCCGAGTTGACTGAACTCCTCCCGTTGCTGCTGTACTTCCTGTTCGGCATATTTCCGAGCAGCGTCCCGTATTGTCTTGGAGTCTATCGACCTTTGATCTTTCTGCGAATGTACAGGTCAGAGACAGCGGGAGCGGACGAATTAGCTGGTACACACTCCGAGCTGCTGTAAAACCTTATTCTCAATGGGCAAACCGTGACAATCCCAGCCTGGATGGTAGCTAGGGATAACTGATCGACAATGGATCGCGCAAATGCATGAGACACTGTACTCACTGCACTTTGTGGCCCATTAACACCTTATACCGTACAATGATGTCTTTCACAATCTTGTTCAACGCGTGTCCTGTAGAGAGGTCAAGCTATGGGCGAGGAGATGGGTGTCATTACGAACCCATATGCAGGTGCCCATTAGCGTATGGAGGTCCATCGTGCAGGACGAACAGAGGTCCTTTGGCATTATCCCACTACTACCAAGGCATAAACAATCCCGTGTATAACGAAATGGGGATAGACAGACCTGCCATTGATACAAGTCCCTCGTTGTCTTATTCCTAAACGGGACTTCACTTTCCAAAGGGTCACTCCGAAGAGTCAACTTGGTCTTGGGCAATAGAAGTGTCTTTGAGTACGCCTTATTGTCAGGTGTAGGACCTTTTGATTCGGCCTGCACCCCGCTGCAGGATATAGCGCGACATCCCGTAAAGCCTGCTTTCGGAAGCTTTCGATGGCGGAGACCGCTCCTCCATACCCCAGACATTTAAGTCCTTTTGCAGGAGACCAGTAGAATGCTATTGTATCAATCAAACCACATAGAGTGAGAAGAGAAACCCTCTAGAAACGCCCTGCCGTGGCCCAAGGACGAAATGGCGGAAAGACTCAGAGAGGGCAGGAGACGCGTGACGATGCGCATCACGTGAAAACGCGTAGTCACCTGACTCAACGCGCCTCGCGTTCTGTTTGCGTCTATTTGCGCGTAACCTGCCGCATTTGGTCGCGCGGTTCGAGCCTTCGCCACCAGCTCCTCCCTCACCGACCACTACATCCCGCTCTCGACCCACATCGTCTGGCACATTGGCGACATAAACTCTTATGTCTTCGAACATTCCTGTAAGTCTGTTTATCTTGATAATATCTAGCAGATCGTAATAAATGCACAGACGCGGCGTGTGACGCGCACAACCACCCGCGCGACCACCGCGAAAGACAACGAAAATGCCAATGCACGCAACGCCAGACCTGTTACTCGCGCGAAACCCCCTTCTAAAACCGCTCCCGCCACGTCTGTGACGACCCGCGCAGCAGGAGCTTCTGCGCAACCCAAGGCCAAGGCGACTGCTGCAGCGGAAGGCAGCGCGCAGGGCAAGCGTAAACGTGCGGCATTGGGAGAGGTGACCGCGCCCCCGAATCGAACCAAAGAGAATCCATCGCGTGCTTCGAAGCCACCGAGCAAGCAACAAACGGCGGGAGCAGCGAAAGGCAAGGAGAAGGTAGAGAATGCTACCGAGTTGAAGGCTAAGACTACGACGAGGGCTGGCTCTGTTTCCAAAGCCACCGGCTCCAAGGCTGGAGCTACGAAGCCCCCATCCACTGGGACACGCGCGCCCCTTGGGACCGTCGGTGGTACTGCTACGGGCAACCACCGGCGCACTAGGAGCACGACCCTGCAGCGCTTGGAGGAAGTCGAGGAAGTTGTGGAGGAAGAACCTATGGCCATCGACCATCCTGTCGAGCCACGTCGCGCCTCTGGCCGTACGACTGTCAAGACGGAAGTCACAGTCGTTGAGACTTCCACCCATGCCACCGGGGCGCGTCGTGCTTCTGACAAGCACGTAGAGAAGAAGACGTCCACGCGCTCGATCAAGTCTGTTGCTCCCAAGCCTGAGGAAGAGGAGGACGAGGAGGATGCTCATCGCGCGCACAAGAAACGGCGCACCTCCCCTGACCCTGGAGACGGTGACCGCGAGACCTATGAGGTCGAGACGCGGGAGCAGACCACAGCAGACCTCGCTCAGGCGTTCGCTGAGCAACTCGAGCGTGCCTCCATGAGCATGGAGAAGGAGGCCGACCCGAACGGCGACGAGTGGACCGACCTTGATGCGGAGGACGCGGATGACCCACTGATGGTCAGCGAGTACGTCGTCGAGATCTTCGAGTACTTGAAAGAGGTTGAGGTAAGTCGGGCATCCTGCCACCCGTCCGCCTGGCTCACATTACTCGCAGCAAACGACCATGCCGAACCCGAACTACATGGAGAACCAGAAGGAGCTGGCGTGGAAGATGCGCGCCATACTGATGGACTGGCTTATCCAGATCCACTTCCGCTTCAGGCTGCTCCCCGAGACGCTCTTCCTCTGCTGCAACATCATCGACCGCTTCCTCTCGGCGCGCGTCGTCTCCGTCGCCAAGCTGCAGCTCGTCGGCATTACCTGCCTCTTCATCGCGGCCAAGACCGAGGAAATTGTCTCCCCCTCCGTTGTCAACTTCCTCCGCTGCGCAGATTCGTCGTACACCGAGCACGACATCCTGCAGGCCGAGAAGTACGTGCTCAAGACCCTCGACTGGAACTTGAGCTACCCGAACCCGATCCACTTCCTGCGGAGGGTGAGCAAGGCCGACGATTATGACGTCCAGGCCAGGACTATCGGAAAGTACTTGATGGAGATCTCCATCGTCGAGTGGAGGCTGCTCGCCGCTCCTCCGTCGCTGTTGGCGGCCGCCGCCGTGTGGCTGGCACGACTCATCCTCTGTAGAGATGAATGGGTAAGTGACTGCAGTTGTCATACTTTTGCTAGAGGACGGCCGCTGACTGGATGGATATCACAGACGCCGAACTTGGCGCATTACTCCTCCTATCGCGAGAGTGATATCGTCCCGACCGCCGGGATCATGCTGAACTACGTGCTGAGGCCTATCCGGCACCCCACATTCTTCAAGAAGTATGCCTCCAAGAAGTACTTGAAGGTTAGTTTGCCCGCCATCTATGCCTCTCCTGCCACCTAACTCTTTCATCTTCAGGCAAGCACCTTCGTGCGAGCATGGGCTCTTGAGCGATGGCCTGAGGGCACCCAAGTCTCGCTGAAGGACGACTTGCCCGTCCTGAAGGCTGAGATCCGGGCGTATGAGGAGCGGGCCTTGGCCGGCGCAGAGAACGGGGTCGCTGAGGCGGAGTACGACGAGGTGGAAGAAGCGGAAGTATAAAGCGATAGATCCAAGCCGAAGAAGAAGTCACCCCTACGTCTCCTCTTCCCACCGCCAGCGTTCCGCGATACATCACTACTCCCCCAGCCGCTAAACTCTTACCCCTATTTATTCTCTAATCCAATGAATCAATGTTCAATGTCAAGTCGGTCCGAGGGAAGGCACAGTACGCATTGTTATAGTATCATCCTCCTTTCCCTTTTCCTGTCCGTGCCGCTGCAGTGTCGCTTCGCCCTGGACAATCGTCTACGCACCTTGCATTTGTTTTATACGCACCTCATATGAAATGTGTTCTACTCGTATTCCTCCAGTTTCACTTTCGTGGATCGCTCTGCCCCACTCATTGGCTTGTACTCCGACGTCAACCTCGAGCTCTCGGTGTGGTTGATGCTCAGTTGTGTCGTCGTCGCTCGTTCCCGTATGCGTGATGCTAATCTATGCAATGCCTTCACATGAATCTTGTACCTACCATTTCTCTATGCCAAAATCGACTTTCTACGGAAACTGCTGGCATGTGCTTTGCATCCCTCAGCCTTTTCCAAAATGTACGACTTGAAGGACATGCAGAGGGAGAACATGCGAAAATAACTCTCTGGCGGGGAGTCGAACCCCGCTCTCCCGCGCCATGAGATTACGTAAGAATTACGCAACCAATGACAGGCGGGTGTACTATCCGATATACTACCAGAGACGGGATGGTTATCACGTTGTCTCTACAAGACCCATGAATGTCTGCTATTGCCCCACCATCTACTCCTATACCTGCGACCGCTTGAACTTCCTACGTATTATATGCCCCTCACCACGGCGTGCCCGGAGGAAACACCATGGGACCTCTCACTTCTTCCCTTTTATCCTTCCCGCACAGCAGCTCAACGAGGGTGAATGCGAAGGGAAAGGCCGTGCCTAGTAGCATTCAGCGTTCTCACTGACGGAAGCGAGTAATGAAACATGACATACCAGGACCCCGACTGACCGGAATCAACAATGGCAATCAGCTAGTGTTAGAGACACGAGCGGGAGAAATGCTACCTTGTTACCAGATTCTTCGAAAGGACAACCGGATCCTCGGAGTAGTCAAAATCTGCAGGCGTCCAGTTCAGCTCTGATAACCAGAGAGGGAGTCAGTAGCTACCTTTCTCCAATTCAGACTTGACGCTGGGATGGGAAGTTAACGGTTGCTCCGGTAGGTTGGATGTCTTGGCAGCAAGACTCCCTGCGCATGCCAATGAGAATGGACTGATCAGGGTGAGTAGACTAGCAGTGTTTAGACATACCGGCACAGATCATCCCGACAATCTTGCCTTTGTTATAGTACTCGCGCACAAGGTGCTGCACCGGTGAGTTCGTAGCGATGGTCTCCGCGCCTTTGGCACCTCCTGGGATGACCAGAGCATCAAATTTGTCCTGCGTATTACATTGTGAGCGGTCATCAACAGAATCATAGTAGTTAAAGACTCTCACTTACCGGTCCCAGCTCCAGCGGCGCGAAGTACCTATCGGGTAGGATGTTAATCCCCCTCGACCCCTTTGCGAACGAAGGCGCTGTCTTGTTCCCTATCTCGAGACCTCCCTTGTCATCTTCCCGGGAAACGTACGCGGACGTGCACGCTACTCCGGCGCGCACGAGCGTGTCATATGTTATGGTGCTGCAGTGATGCTGATCAATGTGCAAGCCCCTCCTGAATGAAGCATCTAATAGCTTACAATTCCATTTCCTCCGTGCCGTCGGCAATGAGAATAAGAGCTGAAGGCATGGCTGTGGATATCCGTTAGATAGTACAATTACACGCAGAAAGAGCAGCAGGGAGTTTATTGATACAGGTGGTGGTTGTGCAAGTACTTACAAGTGCAATGACGTCAAGTCCTTTGCCACATTTCCCCATCCGTGAGAATATCGTCCCGGAAAAGGTAATAGCAGCTTCGTAATTACCGGTGCCTCTGGTTGTACGTCTTGTAGCCATCGCTGACCCATTTCCTGAGAACCTCTCGCCGACGATGACGATAGAAGGCGGCAGCACATCGACCTGGCATGCAATTCGACCGTGGATGCCGCCGTCGCTGACGCTGACCACTCGCGAGATCACCTCGGTCTCAGCCACCTTTGTCCTCTCGACATGCGACTGGAACTCGCAGATCAAGTCGCTCAGCGAGACGTTCCTGGTATCTTCCAAGTCTGCCGAAGACGAGGATGGGAGCGATGAGGAAGAGAACAGGGCGCCGATTGCGGAGACGCTGTCGAAGGGCTTGTCAGTGAAGGTAAATAGCTCGCCCTGGCAGCGGGTCCTCATCCGGGTGGACGAGCGGGCGGATGAGGCGGTAGTTATTGTCTATGGGTTGCTACCAGGAAGAGGGTATGAGATTGAACTAGGGGTGATACACGATGTGCCGGGTGCGGGGCTGGAGGGACTCGGGGAGGAAGTGCATACGCATGAAGAACGCGTACGGAGAGATGTGGTGACGGAAGGCACTGAACGTGAGTCTTCACCCCACGAATGCGCTTCTTGTTATAGATGCACTCGTAAAGCTACCCAGGCTGAACCTATGAGGATAGATATCCATGCGGACGGGACGGACGACACCCAGTCCAGTTCCGACTTCTTCTCTCCATCCGACCCTCCATCGCCCTCGTCGTCTCTGAATAGCGTATCCCCGCCCCCTCGTCCAACGATTACGATTGAGCAGTACACGAATACGCTCCTCGCCCGGCTGACGGCCCTCAACAACGAACGAAGCGAGCTTATAGCCACCCTCAAAGCAACGAGGAAGGAGAGCCAGAAGGCCGACTCCACCCTGCGGTCCGAGATTGATATCCTCAAGCGCTCTTCGGAACGCTTCGTCAAGGAGGAAGCGCGGGCGAAGCAAAAATTGCTTGCGCTACAAGAGGCCGAGAAAAGAAGCCGCTCAGCAACCGAGGAGATCGAGGAACAGGCTAAGGAGGTGCAGTCTGATTTGCCTGAGCTGGAGGCTGAGAGAACAAACAAGGAGAAGGAGTTTGAGCGGGTCAAGGCTGAGGCGGACAAGGTGCGGGCTCGGCGCGAGGAAGTGGAAGCTGATGCGAGGAAGAGAGACGAAGGGTTAAAGGCAGAGTTAGGAAGGGAGGAGGCGCGCTTGGAGAAGCTGGGGGCAAGGAGGGAGAGGCTAGAGGGCGGTGTCGCAGAGCTCGAGGACAAGCTAGAGGAGGTGAGGAGGGAGATCGACCGCGTTGAGAGGGAGGAGTACCCACTGGATGAGGATGTCGAGCAGTCGGATCCTGCCGTGGGTGAGCGGGGTAATAGCGCGGGGCACGAGAGCAATATCGCACCTGGCCAGCCTACGCAGCTGCAGAAGAAACGGCATCCGCACTTCCTACATCCGCGGAACAATTTCTTCGGCGGGAGAGGGTATCAGCACCACAGCGCTGGTCCAATACAGAGGCCACATCAACAGTCGACATCCCCATTCCATAATCACTTTCACCACCACCACCACCAGAATCATTCTCCCTTTGGGGGCGGGTACCATCATAACAGGAATGGGGTGCCGACTGGCCCCAAGGGGCCAACGCGGATTTCAGGGAACGCCGCTGGATCCTCCTCCTCAGGCTCCTCGGGCTCGTCGCCGCACATACCCTCGGCAGCGGCCAGTTTGTCGACCGGCGGAGCTACCGCACCGATCACCATCCTATCCAGCCGCGCCCCGCCGTTCGAGCCATCGTCCGGCCGGTATGCCAATCGGTCCTCCACGTTCCCTGCTCCCTCTGCCTCTGATGCCTCCCGCGGTCATAACCAAACGCAGTCTCTGTCACAGTTCACGAGCAGTACCTCGGAGCTGAATCCTGCCAGTGCTCCGTTCACGCCGAGGATGGCGCACCTGGCACGAGCGGCAAATGCTGCTGATCCTGCCGCGCAGCGGGGTGGCAATAGCTCGGTAGTTGGCTGTATGCATGAGCTGGATAGATAGACTCTAGGGATATCGTTCTTACAGCAGCTTCATGCCGTAATCAAACATTATAATTTATGTAACAATGTACTTGTTCACCTACAGATAGTACGTTCGGCACATGATGCGTCAAGCGGCAAGCTCGATCGTGATTGGATGGGGAATATCCGGGAGTAGTAGCCCTAACCCCACGCCGCCATTCCATGTCCTCCAACGACGACTACGACGCGCTGCCTGCATCCCTTAGACGCAAAATCGACGATGCTTTTGACGCGTTCGTCGATGAAGATAAGCCAGAAGACGGTTATGCTGAGCCTGCTCATTATCCCTCTGGCGACACCATGCAGGCAGGCGGATTTATTCTTGAAGACGAGCCCGGTGGCTTCATTCCGCCTGGCACAAACGATGCAGGCGGATTCATCCTTGACGAGCCAGGTGGGTTTGTCATAGACGAACCCGAACAATCAGCAGGAGGGTTTGTGGCGGAGAAACTCTCAGCACCGGCTGCTTCATCGTCCAGACCGAGGAAGCGGGCAAAGAAGCACTCGCATATCCCTCTGTCCCTGGTACCGCAAGCTCTGGCGATCTTGGACTTGCCTGACGATGATGAAGTCCTTCAGGTCTTTAGGAACGCTGCGTCTGGTTGGATAGCACCCCCTGGTAGTGCTGGGGACCCGCCTAGAGGGCGGGGGGAGGAGATGGTTAACCGCGAGGACTGGAGGGCGGTATGCGCTGCGCTGCTCGGCGGTGTAGGGGAGGGAGATGAGGCTGTGATGGACGTTGATAAAGGGGAAGGTGTACTGGAGGGAGGTGAGGAAGAAGAGGGCGACAGTGACTTGACGCCGTACAGCGAGGAAGAAGACGAGGGGGATAATGAGTCGGATGAAGATTTTTCCCCAACCAAGACCTCCAAAACCAAGACGGGACGTGGACAGAGACCCGTAGGACATTCCAGCTCCCCTTCGCGCACGGTCACACCTACCAAGCGGAAGAGAGCACCGTCGCCTTCTGACCTTACCGCTCGGCAGAAGCAAGCGGTGTTGGTCACGTTCTCCCTGTTCTTTGATGATGTTCGTGATATTGAGCAGCGCAGGATTGGGGTGAAGGATATCCAGAGGGCTGCTAGGGATTTGAAGGAAAAGATTGGTCTTGACGAAGTGCGTGATTCACTGACACTTGCATACTGAATCCGAGGCATCGTGTAACTCACTTGAACATAGATCCAGGATATGCTACAGGAGTTCTCTCCCTCTCCTGATTACACCATTGGCTTGGAGGAGTTCGGGAGGATCATGATCGAGGCAGGTCTCGTCTGAAGGTTGGTGCACATTCCAAGAGTGGATGCATGGACTCCTTTCGTAGTATCTCATATTTGATTGGCGGTCTGGTGAATTTTGACATTACCCCGTTCAGCTAGTTTGCCTATATTACTCGCGGCTGGGGAGATTGTATCGTCATGCGTGTCCTGATAATCTGACGCGCTACCCCAATATCACCCGGATAAGTTGTTGATTTCTCCACTCCACAGATACATTTCAGGGCCGAATCCTTGATATTGTCAAGCCGATAATGTGTGCACTCGTCAAGCTCGCCTGACGTCTGATACCCGTTGTAAAACCCTTCTCATTCGCAGGTCCGTCACCGCCACGACCCGGCTCAGTCGCGCCTGCCAGTTCGACAGGACAATTTGAATTCTGAAGACGTTCGGCTGCCCGGTGTTGGAAAGCACTGGAACCTCACCGAGAAATGTGATTTTTATTACGGGAGGGGGGATATTGAAGCCAAATTAGGCAATACCTTTGCCAAGTATGGAGGTAATTAGAAGTGAAATGGTCCACGATCGAAAAACCTACTTCCCCGTGGACAGGGTACCTATATAAAACATGCGTCCACCCCCGAAGGTACTCTGTCTTCCTCCTGTCCCCAATCTGCCTCGTGCTCGCCGTTGTGCTCTACACAACAAGTGCTACTCGACGCTGCAAGGACTTCGGGAATGAAGTTCCTTCATAACGTCAGTTGGGAACATACTATGGGATGAATTCAATTTCATTCGCGCCTCAGTATCCTGCATTTTCCACTTCCACCAGCGGACACAGCTCATGTCACTTGCACCCCGCGTCCGCAATGAACTACAATGTCCAGTAGACTATGTCTATCCGAATATTACAATCCGGGTGAGCTCCATCGCCAATCCGTGCCAATATGAGCGCCTGACAGTATTGCTCGTCAATGCATGGCTCAAGGGCGACAACTTAAGACGGCCCGGGGGTGGCTGTGTTTCCCCGCGATTTCCCCGCATTCGGTATGGCGAGCACATCTGCTGTTACATAACGAGAGTCGTATACATAGGAGGCCGCCGTCCCTGGCCGTCCTCACCACCGACGATGAGCTGCAGACGTGCTAGCAGACTCTTCTCAAAGGCTCTTGGGCAAAGGAACGTCTTGGTACATGACCGCGGGCTGCTAACCCTGTCATCCGTGGAAGGATCGACGCAACCCCCTCTGGTCCAGGATACCCTCCCGGCGTACTTTGCAAAGGAAATCGTCGGCAAGCACAGGGAGCGCCCCGCTCTTATATCGAGACATGAGAACCCCAGACCGTTTGGGGGACCTCTATCGCGGAACCTGGGGCGCACGGACTGTCTTGCATGGGACTACGACGAGTTCTCGAGGCATGTGGATGCGGTTGCCCGGGGTTTACTGAGCATGGGGGTGAAGAAGGGGGACAGGGTAGCGGTTATTATGGGGAATAGCAGGTGAGCTACGAAGGCGGTATGGGGTGGTGAACGTGCTTAGGTTTGACAGTGCGTACGCATCCCTGCAGTGGGCGTGTGCGAGCATAGGTGCGATTCTCGTGACAATCAACCCTGCATACCGCGTCTCGGAGCTGGTCTGTACGCTCGTGCATCCTATTAGAGATTATTCATTTCAAGATTCCTCGCGTAGATCAACACGTTGAAGGTTGTTGGCGTCAGCCATCTCCTGCTCGTCCCATGCATCCGGACGTCCTCATATCTCAACATGCTCGCGGACGAACTTCCCGCCCTCGCCAACTCACCACCAAGCAGCATCCAGGAGGAGTCTCTCCCGGAGCTGCGCAATCTCGTTGTGGTCGATAATACACACGACCCGGTGCATTTTCAGAAACATATGGACACGATGAAGTGCACCACGGATTTTCGCGAGATATTAGTCTGGCGGGAAGACAGTAAAGAACAGAAGATACTGAAGGAGATTGGGAAGACACTGCACAAAGATGAGGTTATTAATCTGCAGTTCACGAGGTATGCAGTGGAATGCGCATTGGTGTTACAGAGGCGATAATATAGAAAATCAGTGGAACGACGGGATTACCCAAGGCTGTCTCGGTGCGTATAGTGCTCCCCATCTTCAGGATATCAGTATGACAGCGGAGATTCTAGCTGACGCATCACAACCTGCTGAACAATGGCCTTTCGATAGGTCGCTGCATGGACATAAATGAGACAGATATCCTGTGTAAGGTCCCCATTCAGGCCCCGTGTCTGTCGGCTCACTTTACCTGGGGGCAGGCAACGTCCCGCCGCTCTTCCACTGCTTTGATGAGTACACCTTCTCCCCCTCCCCTCGGACATAAACGGCTGACATCAACGACGATAAACACGGCTCGTCCTAGGCAACCTCGCGTTCTGGACGCACGGCGCGTGCATCGTCTACCCGTCTGAGATATTCAATCCGCAGCGCATCGTCGACACCGTGGCGGAGGAGCGCTGCACGGCGCTGCATGGGGTGCCGACACACTTCATCGGCGTCCTCTCCGAGCTGAAGTGGAGGGAGGAGAAGGGGGAGAAGCCAGATATGAGTCAGCTAAGGTGAGTCTTCTGCTAGAGAAAGTTATAACAGTGGGTGAGTGTGCGGATAGGACAGGGATAGCGGCGGGCTCACCGATTCCGATTGAGCTGATGCGGACGTTGGTGGAGAAGATGAATCTAAGGGATTTGACTATCGCGTACGGGATGAGTGAGTCGTTTACTCTCTTCTCCGACCTATATCTAGACGGTAACGTAACCGTGTAGCGGAGACCAGGTAAGGTGCTCGTTTCTCTTTTTGTGATGTGATTTACATGCAAGGCCAGCCCGGTGTCTTTCCAGACCACCACAAAGGATCCACTCATCAAGCGTGTCGAGACGGTGGGCAAGGTGCAGCCACATGTAAAGGCCAAGATCATAAACCCGGAGGGGGAAGTCGTCCCCGTTAACACTCCGGGGGAGATTTTCATTGCGGGCTACCTCGTGCAGAAAGGGTAGGTGTTGTTCACCGTAAGTACGAGTCGAACTGATTCGAGCGGGATGCGCATAGGTACTGGGGAGACGAGGAGCAGACCAAAATTGTGATGAAGAGACACCCCGGGGATGATGAGACGCTGTGGATGCACACGGGTGACGAGGGTATCATGGACGAGGAGGGGTACCTGAGAAGTGAATACTTTCCCTACCATGCACTACCGCTACGCTGACAGCTGGGTCAGTCGTTGGTAGGATCAAGGTACGCAGAACACCTGTTATCTCCTCGGATACAGAGGCTCACCGGCGTGCGGCACCAGGACATCATCATCCGCGGGGGCGAGAACCTCTTCCCGGTGCAGATCGAGAACGTATTGCACGCACACCCGGGCGTGCGAGAGGCAGCGGCGGTAGCGGTGCCCGACACGCGGTATGGGGAGGTTGTCGGCGCGTGGATAGTCAGGCAGCCGGACGCCCCAGCGGTGTCGAGGGAGGAGATACGGAAGTGGGTGAGCGTGAGGATGAATCCCCAGGTGCGCATGCTAGCAGGCGGTGGGTACGGATTTGGTTGCTGATGGGTGTACGAATAGAATGCGCCCGCGTGGGTGTGGTTCGTGGCCGAGGATGACGTCCCGGCGCAGGAGCTGCCTAAGACTGCCAGTGGGAAGGTGCAGAAACATGTACTGCGGGGATGGAGTAAGGAGCTTGCACAGAAGGGTGTAGGGCGGACTCAGGTGCTATAGCGAGGCCATTATTAAATACAGGGAAAGCAAATAATCCACATTGTTGAAACTAACTTGCTTGGTAGGGATCAGGAGATATGTCATATTCCCCATGTTAGTGAGCGCAGTCAAAACTTCCGTTGTTTCTCCGTCCTTTTCATCGGCAATTTCAGTCACAAAAAGCCGCCCAAGATATTGCCCTTCGTACGCTCTCTTCACTGTAGTGTAAACACATCATCCATAGATTGTGGCATTTGTGGCAGCTGTTATCCGACAAGGGTCGGGCCAGCTCTCGATACACCGCGACGTTGCCGAGACGCTTCGCAGGAATACCAAATTGAATCGCTTAGTCAGCGGTTTTTACCGGTGCCCGTCCTGGTGGAGTGTACAAAATAGCCTGACCGTCGACCGTTGCGCAGGACCGCCTCCCACTCAGGACTCGGATTATAACCCGCGGTTTTGCTGCAAGTCCTTTCTTTCCGAACCGCCATGTCCGTCTCCAAGAGGGTGCGCATCTACACCGCCGCAGATGTCGCGGAGCACGCGAGCGCGTCGACGTGCTGGGTCTCGTACAAGGGCAAAGTGTACGACGTGACGGGGTTCCTGCCGGACCACCCGGGAGGAGACGATTTTATATTAAAGTATGCGGGGAAGGATGTCGCGGAAGTTATGAAGAACCCGGAGGAGCATGAGCATTCGGACTCGGCGTATGAAATGCTGGAGGAGTATTTGATCGGACGGCTTGGGACGGGCGAGGCGGTTGTGAGCGACGGTGAGGGCTTTATTCGGTGGGCTGCCGCGGCGGTACTGAGAAGTTTTAGATTGGGAGGCTACGGATGACTTCCATCCTGAAGACACGGACTCTGCGCGGGACTTTGAGAAGAACCAGTTCCTCGACCTCCGACAGCCCCTGTTGAAGCAGGTCTGGTATGCGACATGGAGGTGAGCTGAATTCGGTTCCATTGACTGTCGGTCTGCTCATGAGGATGCAAGTAAACACTACTATCTCCAGCAAGTCCACCAGCCTCGACATCTGCCTTATTCTGCTCGCCTCTTCGGTCCAGACTTCCTCGAGGTAAGCAGGACCGTGCTGTAAGTTTGTCACATGCTGAAGGTATCCCCAGGTCTTCACCAAGACCGAGTGGTATGTCGTGCCCATGATCTGGCTGCCCATCGCCATCAACCTATTCCTCCGCTCCCTCCTCCAATTCTCCGGCCCCCTCCCCAACTTCGTCAACGACCCTTTCATTCCTCTGTCGGCTCTGTCTGCTGTCCCAACATCGGCGTTCGTCAAGACATCTTTATCGTTCTTCCTGGGCAACTTTGTGTGGACCCTCCTTGAATACGGCATGCACCGGTTCCTGTTCCATATCGACGAGCTCCTGCCGGACCGGCCGGTGTTCATGACTCTGCATTTCTTGCTCCACGGGATACATCACTATCTGCCGATGGACAGGTACGTCAGGCCTCATCGGGATTAGGGTATCTGCTCATGTCGTATGGTAGACTGCGGCTCGTCATGCCTCCCCTCCTGTTCACAGCTCTCTCGTACCCATTCACGAGACTGGCCTATCTCCTGTTCCCAGCTGCCATGGCTAACGGGACGATTGCTGGTGCCTTCACGTTCTGTGAGTACTCATGGTTAACCCGTGTATGACTTCCCGTACTGAGCAACGGATAGACGTGCTGTACGACTGCATGCACTGGGCACTGCACCATACGAGACTCCCGGCGTACATGAAGGAGATGAAGAAGTACCACCTTGCACACCATTACAAGAACTTCGAGCTTGGGTTCGGTGTTACCAGTGCGTTACTCCTTTCTCCGGCACCGTGGCCGCATAACTTACTGGTCTATTGCAGGTAAGATATGGGACTACGTGTTCAACACTGTCCTCCCCGTGTAATATCGTGAATGTATTGGCTGGTTCTCGGGAAAGGCATCGTGGCTCCGAGTATATGGCTAGACCTCGTTTAGTGGACTGTAGAGATTATTATGTTCTTTCGTTAATTTCGCTCTGCGAGTTTCCTGCCACTTGGATTTTAGGGTTAGCGTTGTGCGAACCGGAATTTATTCGTTGTTTGCCTGCTCCTCTTCATGACTTTCGTGAGACGACAGAAGAGTACGCGCCCGCCCAACGTCCCCACAGTTGCCCCAAAACTTACAGCGGCTGTGGCTGAGAAGACCTCGATCACTTGATGGGTGTACCGACCTTAAGCTTGTAACCTGCCGTCCACTGCTATCCTGCTCCTTGTCTGCTTTCCGCATTTTGTGGTACGGCCAAGACGTCTACAAACGCTCCGTGTCCATCTCGCACGAAGAGCCGTACTGCCAACGATCCAGTAGCGACCAGTGTCAGTGAACACTGTCGCACGCCCGCATAGTGTCCTGGTTCTTCTGAACTCACTGATGGGGAGACTCAAGCTCGAGATAGATGAAGCGACTCTGCTGAGGCAGTACAAGATATCTACTTTGGAACCCCAGTAAGCTATCCTGTCCAGTGTCGAAGTACGTGATACGATAGACGCGGTCGAAGGAAATGGGAAGAAGTGGACCATGACCTGGGCGACTCGCTCGCCGGTGCCCTCACGAGTCCCACTGGAGAGGGCGAGGGGGACCCGCTAGGTTTGGGCGCCATCATAGAGTACGTAGCAGTGGTACGCTGTCCTGTATGCTACTTTGGTTTAATGCGAGCCTTAGTGTGAAGAATATGGATATGGAATCGCGTCAGTTGCAAATGTGACCCTGGGCATACGTTCGGAAGACATTGACATGCACTTTGGTTTGACTGACTAGGTGCTGCCGTGTCCATATCCTCGAAGTCGTTCGACCCGAAGGCATTCCTAGCGACTGTGCATCCCAATGCCACCTACCAGGACCTCGCGTCCGGGATATCTCACCTCAGGTCCTCGATCGATGCGCGCTCTCAAGCCATAAGGGTGCTTGTAGAGGAGAACTTTGACAGATTTGTTGCTGTCAAGGCGTCCACAGATGGTGAGCACCTACCCCCACGTGAAGCCGTACATCGATCACTTATTTACGCTTGTGATAGCTGTATATGCGGAGATGCGCGAAGGACTCTTGTCGGACAAGGCAGAGTTCGCATCTAAGCCCATTCGTGATCAGTTGAAACGTACCGCGGACTACTTTCTCTTCATAGATTCTGCTCTAATCCTGCTACTCAGAGGCTGCCGTGAAGGCGGACCAAGTGTTCCTCCCAGTCCTCGAGAACGCGTCCAAAGCCCAGAAGTTGCGCACAACTCTCGGAGTGTTCGAGCGCTCCAAGTTCTTCTTCAATCTTCCTGGTGCATTAGCAGAGTCCATTGAAGCGGTAGGAATCACAGCCCTCTTCTCTCCTGAAATCCTAATCCTCTTGCTTTGTCGTCCCCTTAGGGCAAGTACGAGGCGGCACTGAGGGACTACAACAAAGGCAAGTTTCTGCTGGAGTCGCGGCCGGGCCAATTGCTCCCAGTAGGCTCTAGCAAAGACGCCCAGGCCGAACAGCAGCAGAAGCGGATCCTCGAGAAAGTCTGGAACACAGTGGAGAAGGCGATGGGTGAGATGAGGAGCATGCTCCTTGCCAAGCTCAAGGAGCCCAGCCGGCCTGTGGAAGAACAGGAGAAGACCATTGAGCGCGTCCATAAATTCTATTCAATGTCATATACAAGCTTATATCTGGCGTGGACTGGTACAGGATCTTGCTTGAGTTGAATACTCAAGACGACCCTGTGTGGGCATACTTGGATAGTCAGCACAAGCACACATTACACCAGATGAACGAAACGTACAAGGCTGGCGTCGCCGGCATAGAAGGTAGAGGCTCGTTCTCTTATGTGCCGCAAATTTGTGCCAATAATACATTGCAGATATGCGTGGGCGGACGCCGTTAACGCCCAACGACGCTACCAAAGGTCTAGCGGCACAACTCCAGGCTTGTGTCACCGCGCTGGACTCGAAGCAGCCAGACACGGTCATTTGTAAGTCGCCCCGTTTGTTTTTGGATATGGCAGTGACAACTGCCGCAACAACTAAGCACAATCCGGTGGACACGAGGAGTGGCAAGGCATCGTGGACCTGATTAAGAGCGTCTCGGAGGTCATGCTATCAGCTCTCCCTAATTTTTGGAGGATATCCAAGGGTTATATGGATGGCAAGTTCAAGAAGGTACGACTGCTGCTGACCCTCGCACATGTGTGCGCTTCTGACCCTGTGAAGACGTCAGGCTCTAGACGAAGTGCATCCCAATGTCGCACTATGGCTTTAGACATCATCAAACTCTACATCTCTCTCCTGTCTGAATTCTTCACGCTATCGGATTTGGTCATCATGAAGTCCGCGGGGAACGACAACGCCGCTACTCCACGCCTGATCCCAAAGAACTCCAACTCTATGACAACCGCTCATTATCTGCTGCGTATCCTGGGTGAGGCACAGGACACGGTAACGGAGCTCAACTCGATGGAGATCTCTAGTGAAGGCACTTCGGGCCTCAAGAGCTTGATGGAAAGTACGAGATGGAGGTTTGAGGATCTCCTCATTCAAGCATGGTTACGAGGTAAGTGCCTTTTCCTCTCCCGGCTCATTCGTTTGCTGAAGCGTCCGCCGTAAGACGCCAACGTATTCTATTATCTGGAGTCCTGGGTCGCGAGTACGGTCGAGCCGCATACCACGACTTACCTCTCTCGCATACAACAGTACCAGAGGCACATCGTCACAGCTGCTTTCAAGGTCGCTGGTGGTGTCGACCTCCCGTCAAGCTTGAGTGTCTCGAAGACGATCAAACAATACCCAATACCGGTGGAGTTCACCAACAGGATCACAAGGGCGTTCTTGGACTCCCTCTACGCATTCCTCGACGGACTCGTGCACCTAGCCTCTGATGAGTCACCTGACATGGCAAGTGACAAACCGCCTGCTCCGGAAGTAGGAGCAGCATCCGCTGTCAATCCCTTAGAATTGCTGGACTTGACTAATACCGTGAGTGGAACGCTTTCAGGTTCTTCGGAGCTGTAGCTGATCGGCTGCCCAGGACAACCGTTTGTTGTTGGTTGTGTCAAACTTTGGTCACCTTCAACGTGTCATCATCCCGGCCATGATCTCCGAGCTCGAGACTGCTTTTTCAATCTCTATGGAACAAGATAAACAGGTACTTTGACATGTGGGTTCTCAACTGTGAATGTGTTCACTCACGATTACCTAGACGCTAATGACTGTGGTCCAAGAACTCGACAAGACTCTGTTTGATAGCTATATCAGCCCGAAGGCCGCAGTAGTGAAGGGCATGATCCGCAACGGCATTCTCGACAGTGACATTGATTGGTACGAGACGCCTCAACCCACAGGTAAGATCAAATAAATCATCCTGTGATTGGCCCACCTCACACTCCTTGTTAGAAATACGACCATACATGTTTGAGACGTTGATGTATCTCGTGGGAGTTCACAACCAGGTTAACACGGCAGCTGCCCCACTCTTGGATCGTACTCTGAAATCATTAGTTGAACATGTTGCCGAGGAAGCATTACGTTGCTTCCGGCAGGTCAAGAAGTTCGGTATGGGTGGTATGCTGAGGGTACGTCTGCCCTACCTGATACACATATGCCATAGCCTAAAGTCGCGCTTAGGCAACCCTCGAAATCGAATTCCTGCACCAGACCGTCAACCGCTACGTCACGCCGACCGCTGAGAAGACCCTCTCAGACTTGTATCATAAAATATCGCAAGCGTACTCCCGCCGTCCCGGAGACGAGGATCTGCAGACGCACCTGGACGGCGTCAAGAAGACGCTGGCAGACACTCGGAGGGCTACTGGGATCGAATTCCTTTGCTTTAGGCAAAACAAGGAAAGGAATACCAAAGACGGGAAGGATGGGAAGGACAAAGCCAGAGACAGAACGAGAAGTCGGGCCACGAAAGACGGCCGATAGCGTCGGTTGTCGTACCCGTTTCGCCCAGGCTCCTCTCCATATGCTAGATTGTGCATGTATTATACGGCAGGAGATATGCGGCAATGTGTAATTTATACAATGCAAGAGGGTCTACCGTCCGTCAAGCGTGAATATCAGTCGTGGCAATGAAGGCCACTTTGGAGTAATGACTTGGCCGACCGGGAGACTCATAAGAAAAGGTCAACTAAAATCGTGATAATGCCCAGCACTACGACAAGATTTGTAAGTGGAAATGCAAGCGAGCACGCAGTGGCCCATCAGAACTCACCAATCTCCACCCCGATGAGAGCAATGACGATCTGTTCGAGCCTCTCGGAGTGCCGACTAGAGACAGACTCCTTCAACAGTTGAAGCATGTCTTGGAGGACCTATAGGCGAGTCACGCATGATGAGTGGAGATCGGATTTCGTATGGAAGGGTCGGCGCGTACCTCGACACGGGTATTCAATAGATTAATTCGCTGCGGTATCTCAAGGTAACTACGAGCGGCATCGTACAGCGGCTGCAAGTCAGGGTAAGTCTGCACAACGTCGTCCGTATATTAGTAGACTGTTCAATGCTTTCTCACGAGGAAACGTACCCAAAACACTTCCTGCATGAGGGATCAGCGATCGGTTTTCAGTGTGTGGGAAGGCAAGATCTACTCACCGGAGAATCCAAGACGGATCCGACAGAGTTGATGTTTGTCCGTAACAGGAACAGTTCACCCATCTTGCGCATAATCTCTGCATAAGGTGCAGTAATGAGCGCCAGAGGTCATGACCATTGGACGATCTTACCTTTATGCGGCATGCCAATCTTGCCCGTCTCGCCCATGATCTCAGGGATGTCCTTGGTCTCCTCTATAGTGGCTGATATAAGGGATTCGAACTATCATCAATATTCCGTCAGCCAATCAGGGCGATACATCTTCCCTCGGACCAGAAGAACTGTCACTTACCAGAGATATTTTGACGGACTGCGATAGTGCATGCGACAGTGAGAGTTTTGTCCTGAAGACTGAGAGTCAGCGATGACTTTCACAAAAGAGGGTCTTACTCACATGTAGCTAGAGCCTTTCCGAAGCGTGATAACGTCATTATATATCCTAAAAAAATGAAGAATTAGTCGGTGTGTTAAGGCATAGGGAGACAGAACAGAAACATACCGACTGTAGTTCGCGTAATAATAATTAAGATCCTCCATCTCGATGTCGTCGGGCGCTAAGCAGGTATTGTAAGCAGGACACAGAGCTGTTTGGTTCGAACGCATTTACCTAGTTTCTCGACTTCGAATCGTTTTCTACATTTGCGAAGAAATTGAATTCCAAGCAACCCTTCCTAGTCGAATTCTGGGACTCACATTGATGACAAGAACCGTTTCTCCTGCGCCTCTGACATTCCCCATATCACGACAGTCCCATACTCGAATATGAATATCTCCGCTTCGGTGGGTGGCTCGAACCATTTACTCGAGCGCTTCCGCTTCTGCTTGATTGTATGCATAGTCACATCCCCGTCCTCCCCATTGGCGCCAAGATTTGGATTAGCGAGCTCCGGCACGCCTAGAAGGTCGCCCTCTGCTGCAGTCTGAGAACGAGGGTGGTTGGGATTTTGTGTGGAGGATGGTAGCTCGTATGCGTATGGAGTGTATATCACTTCGTCTATCAAGCGGGCATTCGTATGGTACGATTCGCGGCGTGCGTTGAAGAACTTGAGTAAGTCGGGCAGCCGGTAGGAGCTGGACCGCGCGTTCAGTGTTCAGAATGCAGATCACTATATCAGAAGAGCATATACCCACCTGCATGTAGCATACGCAGTCACTCTAGGTAGTGCCTTGGCTTTCTTCTTGGTAAGGCGCAGAGCATCGCGGCGTGCCGTCCCTTCTGGTATGAGGGCAATCTGGTTGTACGTCTGCGACGCTTTTCAGATCGCCCATTCCCCAGATGAATCAGGCAAGCCCATACCTCGACATCCTCAGGCTCCGCCTCCTCCAATTCTCCTTCGTCCTCCTCATCCGCCTCCTCATCGCTCTCCTCCACCGTCTCTACACTGGGCTTCGGCACTCCAGTCCGCGGGCTAGGAATTTCAAGGCGCACTTCCTTTTTTGCAGAGGAAGGTGCCGGCGCATCTACTGCGGGGACCTCTTCAGGAAGGACCTTTAGCTTCCCAGCGACTTTGGTGGAACGATTGGCGCCTCTCGGTTTGCTCGGTTCCTGCGCCACTGTCGTCGGTGAAGGGAGGGACTTGGGTAGCAGCGGTTGGGTCTCTATGGGCGCCATGTCGTACGTTGCTGAAGCGCTGGGTGTGCTGTCCCAGACAAGAGTGAGAGGTGCACGTCGGGCAAGTGTGGACGCGGCGACGCGACTAACGGTGAAGTCGCGGTGGTGTGACGTCTGTGGCAATCGTCGGCTTCCGAACGCCGACGTCGACCTCCGCAGTTGCACGGCGTCGCTCACGACGTCGCGTGTCTTCCCAAGCCTCACTTGCTAAGCTACATCTATGCATGGCTCGACCATTACGACGCTCCAGACTGTTCAATAATCTATGCTTGCCTACACTTGCTTGATAGTATACACTCGTGCGCTCAAATGGAGTCTGAAATGTTGACCGTGGCCGGCTCCTATGCTGGAAGCCGTCGTCTTCAGCCGGCATTTGGCTCTGCTTTAGCCTGTCCGTAAATTGGTTCGAGTGGCCGTCTCATATATGGTCTGCTACAACCTGCGACCCGATCGCGTAGAGCTTCCTGAAACTGTGCTCCGAAGCAGTTCACTATGTGTCTACCGTTTATCTTACATAGTCGTATAGGGTGTGCTGGAACTTCATGCATCTTGGTCACTTCTCCGAGTCGACAGCCTGGTTGCTTAGACTCGCTTCCCCGGCGAACTCTCGGTGCTCTAAGTTTGAGGTCGGCGAGCCATAATTAAAGCACGGCATGTCCGCAGTTTCCTAGAGTCACCTGCTTTCCTTGGGTCTGACGGGTGCATCTTATTGACGCCCGATCGATACGCAAGGCAAAAGAAGGCGAAATGCTATGGAGCTGAATTCAGTGGGAGCAGCTCGACTCGTGTTTACCGTATAAGGGGAGTATGAGGTTCTGCTTGTCTTATCGCTTTCTTTCCACCATCCACGTCTAACTCTCATGAGTATACCGGAGAAGAAGGCATTTTTTCAAGCCATCCTTGAAAGAGGATGCCCCGAGCTCCAACGATTGGGCGAGCTCCGCGCTTTGGTGAGCAAAGACCGCTGGATGCCGTCCTTTCGTTGGGCTAACCCACGTAACCGAAGGGTTGGCAGGAGGACAAGCTTGATCGCGCATTTGTCAAGCAGCACTCCGTTGCCGATAATGCTGATCGCAAACTCCAGCAGTATTGGTTTCATAACATGAAGAAAATAATGCGGGAGATCGACAACCATACTGGTTGCATACCCTTTCGCCGTTTGGACTTCTTAGACCTAGGGTGAGGGTATCGTCATCTGGTCTTTACCGGCATGCCGACAACGGTCCTATCCGCCAAACAGCTGCTGCCCTGGAGGGTTCAGCTCATATATCCTCACCAAGAATCGCAAAGCCAGAGGCATTGGCGTTTCTCTTCCTGTGGAAGAAGGCGGACACGAATCCATGCTCGAGAACGAGTTCCAACCGCGCTTTGATCTCTACTTCGCCGATATTACTTCATTCCAGCTCGGCCCATCCACTATCGATCACGAGCGTTTCTGGAGCTTGCCCACGCCGATCAGCTCTGGTCGGTTCGATCTCGTCATAGTGGACGGTCATCAGCTGCGCACGCAGGTATCAGAGTACGCGGCGCCATGGGATATCGACCGTCTGCTGATATCCCAGATTATCATCGCGCTGCAGACCGTCCGGCCGGGCGGTACCATCATCATCAAGTTGACCCATCCAGAGAGCATCATGACGGCCAAGGTCCTATTCCTCTTGGAGAGTCTGTCGAAAAGGCTGTCGACCTACAAGCCGCGTACGATGCACACGAAGAGAGGGAGTTTCTATGCAGTAGCACGAGGACTGGGCAAGGGTGCGCAGGGTGCACTCTTGCCCCAGATGCTGCAGGCCCTCCGTAGAGTGTGGGTGGAGATCACATCCGGCGGCGATGAAGGGAAGGGAAGGTTCCTTCTTTGGGAAGATCTCGACTTCGCAATTACTATAGACGACCTCGAAGGAACGTACCTCTACTGGTTGATAGATCTCGGTCGGGACGTCTGGAAGGTCCAAGGACACGCGCTGAAGAAATGGTTCGACAAGATGGGGATATTATAGTGCTCGGATCTCTTGAATACATGATACGATCTACTATCCGCGCGTTCTAAGTAATATGCACAGGGGATGTGCAAACGGTATTTCCTCATCACGCACCATATCTCTCCGGGCTCGCTATAATTGTGTGCCTCAGCTGGATTCTAGCCCCATTCCTCGTGTTCACGACGAGATCACAGGTGCTCTCGAAGCATGCAAATGAACTTTGGAACGCGTCATGTTAACGGCCATAGATATACATGATAGTGGGGCGAGGTTCGATAAGGTTAAGATCCGTTCGGACTTCGCTATTCAAGGAGGGTCAACAAATGCTATTGCCCGCTCCACGTTACCCATCCGCTTCCACTGAGCATGAGCATCGAGGGTAACAAAGCATTGGTCCAAGCCATCCTCCAGAAAGGCTGTCCTGAACTCCAGCGACTGCGCGAACTTCAGACTTTAGTAAGTGTTAACTGTGCGATGGTGGTTCGTACGTCTGTTAACCTTTATGCTTGTAGGGGTGGCAAGACGAGGGTCTCGACGAAGATTACGCGCGGCAGCGCAAGGTAGCCGACGACGCAGCCCCTGAATTCAATTTAGCTTGTTTTCTTGGTATGAAGAAGGTTATGAAGGAGATCGACGCTCATGTCTCCTGGATGATCCCGCGCAAACGACAGTTCCACTTTCTTGACCTAGGGTATGGCTAGCATCCGCCGCTTACCCTTCTCATACTGACACATGGTAAGCAGGTGCTGCCCTGGAGGATTCAGCTCATATACCCTTGCCAAAAATCGGATGGCTACAGGGGTCGGCATTTCGCTCCCTGTCGAACAAGGAGGTCACGCCTTCCTGCTCGAGGACCGCTTCAGCTCCCGCTATGATATGTACTTCGGGGACCTCACCTCCTACCAACTTGGGCCGTCCACGATCGACCATCCGCGTCTCTCTGAATTACCCGCGGCGACCAAGACAAGTCGATTTGATCTTGTATTCCTAGGCGGCAACAGACTGCGAACACAGATATCAGAGTATAATGCGCCCTGGGATGTAGATTGCCTCCTGGTATCCCAGCTGGTGATCGCCCTGCAAGCGGTCACAATCGGCGGAACTTTGATGTTCAAATTAACCCACCCAGACCGGCTCGTTACTGCGAAGATCCTCTATCTTCTGGACATGCTTGCAGAACGTCTTGTGGCGTACAAGCCGCGATCGATGCACCAGAGGAAGGGGAGCTTCTATGCGGTAGCCCTCGGCGTGGGTCGTGGAGTAGAGAGTGACCGCTTGCCGGAAGTGTTGCACGCTTTAAAGGAACTTTGGGTAGAGATGACTTTCGGAGGGGAAGAGGGGAAGGGTAGATTTCTGCTGTGGGGAGACCTTGATTTCGCTGTCACTACGGAAGAGCTACACCGAGCATACCTCGACCGATTGATAGAGCTCGGAAGGGGTGTATGGGACGCCCAAGCGCAGGCCCTGCATGCCTGGTTTAAGAAGAAGGGGGTAATGTGTTAACTTCATCGCTTCTACGCATCGTATGCTCCGCTTTTTTGCGTGCATGATATGCACAGGAGAGGCGAGCCCTGTTCTCGTACCCTGTTTTCTTACCAATTACTTTCTCGCCAAAATTATGCCGCAGCTGGAATCTAGTCCCTGCCTCATGTTACCTCGAAAGATGCGCAGATGCGTCTCATTGATGCAGTTTAATGAAAGCTTGTATCCAATAAGGTTTAGGTCAGACGCCCATCTCGTCTCGTGTCATACATATAACATGTGCACTAGCAGTCCCTAATTTTCTCACTCACCCGTGTACGCCGTCGTGAACATGAGCAAGACAGACCACGAAACGCTGGCGGAAGCTATCATCGCCAGAGGCTGTCCCCAGCTTCAGCGACTACGAGAGCTTCGAGCTACAGTAAATATATATATATTTATATTCACCTCCGACGCATACTAAACCACCTTCTTCAAGGGATGGAAAGATCCGAAGCTTGACTGCGACTTTGCCGTTCAACGGACCGTGGCCGACAATGCAGACACAGAACTCAGCTTCTATTGGTTCAACCGGATGAAAGCGATAATGCAGGAGATCGACCTCTGGACACATTGCGTATCCCTTCGCCCTTTGGACTTCTTAGACCTAGGGTAAGTATCTCACCCTCCCCGTCCTAATATTATATATTTATAATCTTTCTGTACATCTGAATAGCTGCTGCCCAGGAGGGTTTAGCTCCTACATCCTAGCCACGAACCGCAACGCCAGAGGTGTCGGAGTATCACTACCTGTTGAAGATGGGGGACACGAATATACACTCGAGCATGCTCACCGACCTCGTTTTGATATCTACTTCGCCGACGTTACATCCTACCAGCTTGGCCCGACCAATGTTCACCATCAGCGTCTCTATTACCTTCCTTCACAAATCAGCTCCACCCTTTTCGGTCTCGTAATCCTAGATGGACACCAGCTACGTACGCAGATATCGAAGTATAAGGTGCCCTGGGATATCGATCGCCTTCTGGTATCCCAGATGATAATTGCTCTCCAAGTTGTCCGACCCGGGGGAAACGTCGTGATCAAGTTAACTCATCCGGAAAGAATAACCACAGCCAAGATCCTTTACATGTTCGACATTCTTTCGGAAAGACTTTTCACTCACAAGCCACGTACCATGCACCAGAATCGGGGGAGCTTTTACGCCATAGCCAGGGGGGTGGGTAAAGGAGTACGAGCAGCATGGCAGCCACGGATGCTACAGGCGCTTCAAGAACTTTGGCTGGAGATCACCTTTGGGGGAATTGAAGGGAAGGGGAGATTCGTCGAGGGCGCCGATTTCGACTTTGCAATCACCACGGAAGATCTCCACCAGAAGTACCTTGACCGCTTGATATCGCTCGGGCTAGGTGTCTGGAGTGTACAAGCGCGGTCGCTGGAATCGTGGTTCAGGAAGAAGCGTATCCTCTAATGGCGATCCTTTGGGTGTATCGTATGATCCATCCATAATGTATCATAACATGCACCCAGAGTACGCGCATTATTTTTTGCAAGATGGCTACATGCTAAGTACTGGTACCGGTTATTTCGGAGGGAACATAGCTATAGCTGTAGGGATTTTATGATATCTGCATGTCCGTGTACTCGAGCTTTTGAGGAGGCCAGAAAGAATTCGGGCACCAGGATCAAGTTGTAAGTACCGTGTTGGGCCGACCTCTATGGGTCAGCCAATCACTGCGGGCCTGTTACGTAATTAGAAGTATACTCAGACGGGAATGCCGTTACCTTGCTGTAACCTGACGCCGCCGGGCTAAGCAGCGAATATAGGCCCTGACTTGTGTTATGTGGCTTTTGCGCTGTTGAGAGGAGTAAAACAAGAAAGCCTCCAGCACTCGCTATAGGAGACTTTACACGCTTCATATGCTTCTCCCACGCATTTTCTTGCTATCTTCTTTATTATATTCTGGGTGGACTCTGGAGGTCAATAGAGTTCCGAAATCGACCTGTGCTGCGACGACAATGACCCTACAAGGTGGCTCGACGGCGTCTGCAGCAGTGGGCAGCTACCGGTACACGGTCAGGCCACCCCAAGTCGCTTTAGACGTCGAAAACTACCCTGTGGTGCCGGAGCAGCTTCAGCTAGAACAGGTTCACATTTATATCAGACACGGTGCGTGCTGCAACGCGTTCGTTCGCGTTCAGGAGGGTCGGTTGACAACGGGTCACCAGGAGAACGCACGCCAGTAGGGATACGGATGGCGGCACCACCTGCGTCTATACCTGAGCACTGGATGCTATGCAAGACCGCCCGACGTTTCCGGGCGGCCGTGGCTAGTTCGACCATGCCTCCAGCTGCTGTCGGACCTGCCGAAGGACGCTCGGAAGAGGAATTACAGATTAGAAGGATTGTGGAGAGGAGTGACGGCACCAACGCCGAGGGCGAATGGTGAGTGACGCTGGAATAGTTAAAAGACGACAAAAGGGTTTCAACGGGTACCATAGTCTCCTCGGAGAGCTGACTGACATCGGGCGACAGGTAAGTAGCTTGAATAGTGCCTCAGGGCTTCGTTCGTTGACGCTCAGTCGTCCCTAGTCCACCTATAATTTCGGTGCAGCCCTCAGAGACTTATACATTAACAAGTGCGCCGACTTCCGGATGATCAGACGTTCCCTCACATCACATTCAGGTTAGGGTTTCTGCCAGACACTCACCAACCTGGAGGGACTGCATATTTCCGGTGAGTACCACCGCGCATTGCAATTATTGCGGACCATCCAACCGTGCTTGTTCATTTAGTTCAACCAATATGCCTCGGACCATAGAGTCTCTGCAGCAAATCGTCCACGGCCTATACCCCACGTCGAAATGTGCGCCCGGATTCGTTCCCCAAATCCTCGTGCGGTAAGTCCGGGTTAGGCTGATGAGCGTGTCTTCTTCATTGCTCTCCACCGTAGGAATGGGAAGGACGAAAATCTGCTTGGTAACACCTATGCGTGCAAGCGACTGGAAATTCTTCAAGTGGGATTTGCGCAGGCTGCCGCGGCGGCATGGAACCATACCCTTGAACCGCTAGACAATAAGGTCTCGAAATACATCGGAGGCAATCCAATCCGGATAGATGGGAAGCCTAGGGCTTCTGGTATATTAGACACAGTAAATGCTTGAATTGTCATTGCGCTGGGGTAGCCCTCTTATGCTTATTTGTAGATCCGCGCTGCCTCTGCACACGGAATCAAGGTTCCTCCGGAGTTCGAAGAGAAGGGAGTGATGGATATCATTGTATGTGGCATCATGCACGAGTGGTTATTCTCATCCAAAACGCCTCGTGTTGTAGGAGAAAGCTGTTGTACACGAATGGTTCGCAGGTACGCATTCTCCTCTTGCGCAGACTATTCTGCATACTGACGTATCCGCCCATTTTGTGAAGGGTGTGAGAGCGCCCTAATTGTCATTTGCGCATATCCCGGGACTGACCCGTAGAAACGACCCAATTCACGTACACAGATAAAACTGAGGAAGTTCGCCGCCTCGGTATGGGTCGTCTCCTCACCGACCTCACCCGGAAGATGCAAAGCAAGGTTGACAAGGGGCCTGACGATCCGCTGAAGATCCTTGTGCACAGCACGCACGACACGGCGATTGCCGCGCTCTGCCAGTCCCTCGACGTCTTTGATGACAAGTGAGTTTGCTGGGAGCTAAGACGGATGTGGTTTTGACAACAGTACAGGTGGCCGCCGTTCACCGCGTCGATCACCTTCGAGTTATTCAAGAAACAACTCGAGGAAGAGGCTGGGGTTAGGGAACAGCACCAATCGTATCTGCAGACAGTCCTCGGTGGACGCCATTCAAAACATCCTCCTGCCCAGCACTGTGAGCCAGTGCCTTCTATACCGGGTATATGCGCTCACCTCACCTGCCCATTCAGATATCCGAATGCGGTACCAGAATAGGAACATGCTGCTGCCCATCTGTGCGGATGAAGGCAAGCATCTACCCGGTTCTCCCGAGTTCTGTACCCTGGAAGCGTTCACGGAACGCGTCAAGGAGCTCACGCCGGCCGACTGGGAGACCGAGTGCGCAAGGTAACCAGCCCAATGCTCCCCTGGGACACTACGTGGACGTGGGTTCGTGTGTTTCTTGGATACGGCTCGGCATGGATACATTAGCAATGGATTGTAGAGTACACCAGACGGTACTTATTCTTCGACTACATTACACTAATTTAAGGTTGTTTCTCTATGGCAGCGCCTGGCGTGCTACAACTTTGTTTGTGGTTTTCAATTTCACTGTGGCTTATGTAAATTGATGTCGAAGTCTGGCCATCGCTGTGGTTCAAGTCTATGAGCTTTCAGGATTGTTCTTCCCAACCAGAGGAGGGCAGATGCGGCCGTTGAGTCACGAAGTATATCTATCCCCAGATTATGCATTCAATGATGTCTGTTCATCCAGTATCTTACATTCATTTGCGATTACTTCTCTTCATCCCGCTGATGAAATTTACTTGGACGGCTCGCCGGCCTCTCCCTTGTACTCTCCCAGCGCGGCCTCGTAGCACCACTTGGCCCTAAGCATGAACGTCTCCTGCGCCTTCTTGATATCGCCCGAGTGCGCCCACACCTTCATCGCCTCGCCCTGCAGCGCCCGCCCGAAGCTGAAGCTCAGCTTCCACGGCGCGATGCTCGGCTCCTTCTTCTTTAGCTTGTTCATCGCGTCAAGGTACGCGATGGAGTCGGCTTCGCTCAGCCCACCGCTGAGGAACACGACGCCCGGGACGAGCGGCGGAACGGTCTTACTGAGCACATGCAGCGTCGCCTGCGCGACCTCCTCGGGCGTCGCGACCTTGCCGCTCTTGTCCCCGGGGACGACCATGCTCGCTTTTAGGATCATGCCCGCAAAGTCCACCTTGTGCAGCGCGAGCGTGCGGAAGAGGTGCGAGTACGCAGCGATGTGCGCCTCGGCGGAGCGCTCGATCGTGAAGTCGCCGTTGCACAGAACCTCGGGCTCGACGATCGGCACGAGCCCCGCCTCCTGCGAGATGGACGCGTAACGCGCCTGCACGTTCGCGTTATCCTCGATTGCGAGCTGCGAGGGCGTCGTGGCCGTGACGATGTAGGTGGTGCGGAACTTAGCGAAGCGTGCGCCGGCGGCGTAGTATTCCTGCGAGCGTGCGAGGAGGCCGTCGAGCCCCTCCGTTGTGGTTTCTTCTGGCTGGGTACGCGAAAGGGGCTTGGTGCCCTTGTCAGTCTTGATGCCGGGGATGATGCCGCGCTTCTTGATCACGTCTCGCAAGGGCGAGCCCTTATATGAATTTGTTCAGCCCCTTTTGCGTTATACATGACAGTCGGACGAGAGGACTAACCTTGTATTGTGACTCCAACTGAGCGTCGTGCTTCATGAGCGTATCTTCGAAGGTGATGACGCCTCCCAGACTGCATTGCCCATCAGTCTCATGGACACTTACAACAGACAGCGAAAACTCACTATTTCTCCAAGGGACCCTCCGCGGTGAACATCAAGTCTCGCCACTCTCTCCTGTCTGTAGACACCCGTCAGCCCGACCAGCCTTGACCGCGTTTCGCGCCGTCACTCACTGTCATCGTTGTTCTCCTTCCCAACGCTCTCCAACCTCTTCTTGATAGACCCCGTACTCTCATCCGCCGCTAACAGCCCCTTTCCATCTGCCACCAGTGCTTTCGCGGTGGCGTGCTGAAGAAGTGTCACTCAGTCTCCACCCCTGTCTCCAGTAAACCTCGAAGCACTCACCAGTTCATCAGCGTACTTCAAAGCGGGAGTCGGTGTAAACTTTGCGGCGGCCATGTTGAGAGTCAAGTATCAAGTTAAGAGCCCGATCCCGCGACACAGGCCGAATATATACCTCCCTGGAGAGCCCTTTTCCGTGACTGGATGTCAGTTGCTCGTATGTGACGTCAGGGCCAGCTTCGGAGTGGGGAAGTCTCCAAACCTGAGAAACCCATTGGCCGCGGCGGCAGAAAATTGTCACAGACAACGAAAACGGGCTGGAATATTTGGTTTGACGGGACTGAGGAGGACTCCTTGACCGAGCGGGTGAACGACCGTCGCAGTCCCACGGTCGAATCCGACCAATTTACGCCCAATTAAGGCAGTGCACCGCCACCCTGATCCGTTCATGGGTGTTGTGGCAGCGGATCACACGTTGTAATTCATACCGTTCATTCATTTGCAGCGACAAGATGGTTATCCATTCGTATTCGTTCTACATACAGAGCGTACATCCCAACTTGTACTGCCGACTGTCCTGGTATACATACATTTCATTTTGAATTCGACGAGGTGAAAGGAATGGGTGAAAGGAATGGGTATGGAATGCTGGACTCAAGGCTTGATCGCGATCTTGAGTGCCCCGCGGCTGCTCATCTTGTCCAGCGCGCCGTGGTAGTCCTCCAGCTTGAAGATGTCCGTCACCATTCCCTTTGTCTTGATCTTCCCGCTGTCGAGGTACGCGACCGCCCGGGGGAAGCAGTACGCCTGCGAGAACGAGCCAATAATCTGCGAGAGGCACAGTCAGCAGCGGTTCCTGAATATCACAAAAAGAAATCGCGCGTACCCTGATCTCGTCACCGAAGATCTTGCTCGGCGGCCAGTGCACTTGCGCCGCGTTCTCGTACACGCCGTAGATCATCAGCGTCCCACCCCGCCTGACATAATTAATCGCGTCCTGCGCAATCTTTTCCACGCCCGTCGCCTCCACCACGACATCGAACCCATACGGGTAGTCCTTCTTCAGCTTCTCCCACTGCGGGCCCGGATTCTGCCTGTCGAGCTCGACGTACTCGTCTGCAGCGTCCAGGCCCTTCGCAATGTCCATCTTGATCCCCTTGTTCGCGGCGATGACCACTTTCGACGCGCCGTTGAGCTTGAGCAGCTGTGAGAGCATGAGCCCGGTCGGTCCCGCACCGAGCAGAAGCACCTCGATGCCGACGGGAGGCTGCAGCTTGTCCAGCCCGTGGATCGCGCACGCCGCGGGCTCCATTAGCGTCGCCTCCTCGTCGGTCATGTTGTGGATCTTGTAGCATTTCTTCTGGTGACTGCAGAATTATGCCGTCAGACAAACACATATACATGTCATCCGTGATTGACATACTAGACGATGTACTCGGCGAAGCCGCCGTCCTGTGTGACGCCCCGCGCGTGGAAGTCCTCGCACAGGACCGGCTGGCCGCGGCGGCAGTAGAAGCAGTTATCGCACTGAATGGCGATACGATATGATTAGATCTCAGGGGAGAATTCCGGCGATAGCGGGGTACGCACCGAGATACCGACGTCCGCAACTACTCGGTCGCCGATGTCGAACTCTTTGACGTTCTTCCCCTTTTCGACAACTTTCCCAACGGCTTCGTGGCCGGGAATGAGCTGATAATCAGATAGTTGAGCGGGATGCTCGGCGAGATGCAAGGCTACAGAGACGTACGGGGAACTTGGCGATGAACTCGCCGTCGTGAATGTGTGCGTCGGTACCGCATACACCTACACGAAAATGTCAATGCTACTGTATGCGCTCCGAGGCACGGCGATAAGCTGAAGTGGTCACCGCCCATTCCTACGTACCACAGTAGGTAACTAACACGCATACATCAGCCTCTTGTCCACCAAACGCTAACTTTAGCTCAAAGCGCACCTTTCAGCAACACGTCGTCGTCGTTGCACTTTGGAATCGGCACCTCCTTAATCTCAAACTTCCTAGGCTGCAAACGCACGCCGCATACATTCATTCAGCCTCTCGTCCTCCCCGCCTCACCTCTCTCCCCCGTTGAGCTCACCTCGTGGTAGTACAGCGCTTTCATGGTTCCCTCGGGCATGCTGGGCGTCGGTCGATGGGGATGGGAGTTGGAAGAGAGGAAGAAACGGAAGAATTTGAAGAAGGCAGAAATGGGGACTGATCTTTATCGAGCTTTATAGCGTCGCGTGACGTCAGTGAGAGCATCGCCGACAAACAAGCCGGGCTTTCGCCAGGACCCGAGGACCGGAGCCGGTCCGCCGTCAGTGGCTGCTGCGTCGGACATGTCAAGCAGTGGAAGAAACGAGAAAGAAGCGATATTAGCTTTGAGACGAGCTTCGTCGGGGAGGATGGCGAGTGAGAGAAAGTACGGTCATAGTAAGTGTTTTCACAGCTAGCACGTCATCCGACACAAGAAACCCATGCTAGAGCATCGCACTGAGCAGCTGGGGCAGCTGCGGGAATACAATATTTGTTCGAAAAGGCTCTTAATACAAAGCTTCAGAGGCGAAGCAAACAGAGAAACAAGAGATCTCTTGCTCGCGAGTCCTTATATACGCTGACTGCCCGAGGACCCTCGCGGTAACGCGCCGAGGTGCACAATGCACATACCCACTGACTTCATCTGACATACTTGTCCAGAGAAGTTCATGCAGCTTGAGAACCCTCATTATTGGGATGCAACGCGCACCTGGAACGAGGATGGACAAGTTGAGCCGAGAACGCGTAGACTTGGACACTTGGACTGGTACTACTTGTGGTGTTGTGTGATGAACATGAACTTGGGGATCATCATATAGACAGCTATCGCGCAATCCTCCCGCTATCTCCAAGGACGCCGAACTTGATGAGCTGATAAGCCGAACAGCTAGTGGATATCCTGGATCTTTGAAACCTAGGTAAGACCGCTGGGCAATGTTGCATCGGCTATTCCCGAGACGCGCATTCCACGCCACATATGCCCATTTCCGGACATGCTCCTCCTGCCACAGGGATTTCGGCCTTTCTCCTCAGCTTGTGGACGCATTCGCTTGATATTTGGCTTGTTTTTTTGACCAGATTTTAGTCCGATGTGGTGTAGTGGCTACACCTGACCCTCCCAAAGAACAAGGCTTATAAGAGTGGACGATCGAGCAGCGCGTCCACTCTTATAAGACTCGAAACGCGTTTCTCCTAACTCCGGCGGAAGCACCGGGAACACCAGCGGCCCTGTAGGATATAGAGTAGGGAGCCTCCAGGAGACTCCGGCGGTAGCACCGGCCCCAGCGGTGGCATCGCGTCGTGGACCGGTGGACGAAAATAGACAGCTGCCTAAAAGGGATTGATGGCGCCCTCCGCCGTGATGACATCATATTGCCGCCGCGCCCGACGCTGGTCGTCGTTGTTCCCGACGACGTCGGCAATAGGTAGCGTATAGTTCCTCAAATAAAATCGTATAAAATGCAATAAATTCTAGATATAATCTACAGTTTAGACTATGTATGCTGGAGATACATATAAGGTATCCATATGACACAGTCCCTTGGTATCTATGTGTGCCAGGGGTATACATTCTGGAAAAAGGGAAATATTCGATTTAGAGCTAGCCCTGAGAGGAAATAAA